TCAAGAAAGAGCGTATTCGTTTTTAAAAGACCGGCAACGCACCTGTGACTCCTCTGATGTTGCGGGTGTCCAGGGGTGGCGCAGATCACTTTCTATCAGGTGAACCGTCTCCTCGTTTGCCTCCTATTCCATAAAAACAAACATTTTCAGGCAACTACTGTTACTACTTACTGGCAATCGATTACTGACCGTCTCCGATCACACTCAGACTCATACACAACTTGTGAAAAACGCAACAAAATACAAGTTTTAAAATGTATTTCAACGTACGTATGTTCAGGAAGAATGTTCTCTTTTTCCTCTGTACGCAATATTTATAGATTTGTTATTTTCTATGGAGCGTCAGATTTTTATGTGACTTCGTTGTTGGTCCCGTAGTAAAAAAATATTTGTACACGTGGGTAAACTGACCCTTCCTTTATGGAAACTTACCTACTAGATATAGGTATGTAGGCATACCAAATATGTATGTATGTGTACCCACGTCCCCTTTTTCTATTCTTACTCCACAATTACAGAAATGCAAAGTCAATGTCAAAATCACGACAGTAATTTTAATTAGGTTTTATTTTAATTTACGTTTACGTTAAACTTTAACTAACACTACTTTTTTTAAGTATTATTAAAAATAATATCCCTCAGAGGGGAAGTGTCTTTATTGAAATTGAAAGAAAATTACCAAAAAAAAATTACACCATATATAAAAAAATATATTTTTGATGCAAACATAATTAATTCAAAGAATACAGTCCACAGAAATTCAATTCTCATTATACAGAAATCCCACCGTCCATTTAAAAGAGAATTTTTTTTTGCGATACTGCAAATTGTATATGAATATCGGTTCCAATAAATCTGGGTCAAAGAGCAAGATAAAATCGCCGATACTTTGAGATGCAGTATCGTGTTACCATTATCGCGATAACGTAATAAGCAGAGAAAGTAGGTTAATAGCTGCTTTCATGTCGGGTACAAGTGGCACCACACGCATTCTTCATCATTTAGAACAAATTACCTATTTCATCCTTCAGTTTATATACTTTTTAAAGGTATTAATATCTGAGTTAATACTAGTTAATCCAACAATGTGAGATAAAATTAACACGTTAACCGCCACGTAGGTCACCAGTGATCTACGTTAGCAGAGGATTTGCCTTCAGCAGTTTTCCGTTCGGCAGTCAAAGGCTTAAACACGATGTATGTACAATGACTTTTTTCAAAGCACAATAAATGCGAGTTATCGTGTATGTGCGATTTTTGGCACCCCAAAAAGCTACGTTAGCAAGGAATTCAACTATCACACTCTTAATTAAAAATGCAATCTGCGTTTTGCCTTAGCACTTATACTATCTATCTCTATCTTCATATTAAAAGTTTAATTGCGAAGCTAACATTTTCTAAAAACATGAGATAAATATTTTGTAAAGAATTATGGAATCAATTGTGTCATGACTTTTATTAACGTACGTATCTATTAATATAAATTGCCCTTCGCCAATTATATTACAAATACCATGGTGTAGAGTGGGAGCCTATGCAAAATTAGACTCCAACCAAGATGAAGGTTTTGTGCTTTTCTCGGCTACTAAATAGATGCTTTATAAATTAAACTTGTTTTGGTGTTCCACCAGGCAGCGGCAGCGGTTGCGGGAATTATGAAATGATCCCATCAAAAACTTTACGCGAGTTACTGCCTTCCGCAATTTTATATGAAGGTTATTGCGTATGAGATTTTGTGCGACAAACATTCGTAAATATTTAATAAGACTAATATTTCTTGTATATTCAACAAATAAGAGCACATTTTTCAGCCAATTTAGGCTATATAATTAAGCACCACGACACTAAACAACCCAATAATGTCTGTTGTCTAAGCCAAAAACCAGTCTGAATTTAGTATAAATCTACTACTAAATACTAAATACAATAATAAAAAATATGGAGACAAAACATTGAATATTGGTAACATCCGAAATACCGTATTACATTGGCTTCAGTAGTTGAGAATCCTATTAAAATGTGTAGACTGCTTAATTCCTTCACAGTGTCACAAAACATGACAACGACATAACATTAAACAATTCACTACTCGGTAATGTTTTTAATTAAAACACTAACTGTTAAAGTGCTCAACGAAAATCCCTTCCAAAATTTCAACTCACCTATTCTAACCAAAGTCTACCTAAATGTAACCATTAGCATAGATCGAGGTGTGAGTAAAATGCAACACAAACGTATCTAAAGAAGCTTAGCGTCGCCTGGTACGCTCCACACTCACCGCACATACAGACAAACACTTTAAGCTGATTATGATGGATACGTCCCACTCGCAAAATCACAGATAGTTATAATTATGTAACGTTTCCTCACAGTACCAACTAGAATTACCTAACCTACGTTCATTTATTTAAATGGCCAACGTTTGCGACCAGTTCTTTCCGTTTGTTCCCAATATCTAGGGATTTTACGCCATTATGTACTCAGCTATGTAGAGGATGTTGTTTCAAATCAATGTTGGTAAGGAATGCCATTGAAATTAATTTATATTAATTGCTTTCCGCTGTCGCAGTGATCAGTAGGTACCTACTTATTCTTTTTAGAAAGAAGTTTTTAGCCAGCACTGGGACAATTAAAAGGATATTGTAATAGCTTGGAAAGATGAAGAAGACTTATAGTAAATAGCATATACCATAGTAACAACTAAATTTCACCCATACCTCGGTATACCTATAGCTAACAGCAGAAATTATTAACCGATCTCAAACCAAAATCTCAGAATCGATTACAGGTTTTGACAGAAAATGGACATCAAGCCAAAATTTTGCATTGAGATTTATCATTTATTTTGGCTGAGACTACTAAATAAATATAAGGACCAACCTGTTCATAAAGCCAGATAACTGTTTACAAAACGTATCTAATAATCTGGTTCCTGTTTGCATGCATCAGCCCATTCCCTCCTGCTTACCCCTTTCAAGCTCGCAAAGAAGCTTGACAGTCTCGAGTTCTACATTCCCTAACTAATATTATACCAAATTGAGCTCACACATTGTAATTTTAGGGTTGCCAATTTGTATGCAATGGTAGCCGGGGCTCGTCTAGTCTTGTTTGCAAACTGTATTGCCCTACCGGCTACCGACCCGGCGCGTCCGTCCCTAACAAGTTAATTTAAACTTCTAACGCTTAGCCGACTTAGGTTGACGGAGCTTAATAGTAATATCCTAAATATAATTAAATTCACAACAAAATCTTTGATTAGAAATAGATGAGTATCTCTTTTCCATTCATTTTGAGATTGCTTTTAAACTCTTCGTTTGAATAACTCGCTATTAAAATATATTTACCTACAACGTATTATATATTTAAATAAATATTATAATAAATATAATAACAAACCTGATTTTGCTCAACTTAAGTACTTATAAAATAAATTACTTCTTACTTCAATTTACAATATATCTAATATTTTCTAGTCTTAGCAATAAATTCAACACCAAATCTTTAATGACGCATAATAACATAAATATGTTTAAGTATAACGCCAAGAATCTAATTGAAATTTTCAAATTAAAATGTATAAATAAATGAACGTTATTTATAAATTCTTGTTGAGGGAAAGGTGTACGAAATTAGGATTGTCCTCCCCACAATATCGTATGCTTGTGATACGGGGACTTAATAATAAATTCCTTTGTGCAAAAAGGAACAAAAAATTAAAATTCTTTTCGTGTCCCAGGGCCTTCTCCGGCGCAGTTTTGTCATTTTGTTTGGAGGGATCTCGCGTGACATACGCAAATCCCTCTGCTGAATATATGTATATAATATATACTATTGCGAATACCTAAGTGAGCAATATTAGACACGTTTTCTCATAAATCTTACTATATTCATAGTATGAATGCTCGAGATATAGTATTTTTCATATTCAGTGGTGGACTATACCGCTGTCATATTTATAATCTTATAGGTATATATATATATATATATATATAAAAGAAAGTCGTGTTAGTTACACCACTTATAACTCAAGAACGGCAGAATAGATTTGGCTGAAAATTGGTAGGGAGGTAGCTTAGAGTCAGGAGACTCAGGCGACATAGGATACTTTTTAACCAATATTTTTTTTTACTTTTTACCGAAAATCACGAACGGGGACGGGAAAAAATGGGATTACGTGTACGAAGTCGCGGGCAGAAGCTAGTATATCATAGTTTTCAGTTTAATAACACGTGCATACTGGATTATTAGTAAAAGACTCACATCAAATCATATACACATATATAAATTATTGGTATATTAAGTTGAACACAGTCCAAATTTTCCCTTACCTATGTCATATTTTGTTTAAAAACGAATAGAAATATATACAGCATTTAATTCTTTCAACTTTTAATTTTGATACAAAATACTAGACCTCCAATTTCTTAAGGAATTATATAAAGTATAAAAAGCTGTGGAAATAGACTACTTAATCATTTTGAATACAGTATTTGAAAGTGCACGTTAACGTTTGAGTGCTTTTTGGGTGACCATTTTTGCATGTGTAGGATAATTCTAGGAATAGTCAACATACTGCCATTATTTCCAGGATTATAACTGATTTCAAATCTTTCTTTCTATACAAGTATTGAGTGACAATCAGAAAATTTTGTTAAATAAGTAAATAGATACAACTAAACTAAATGACTAAAGCTAAGCAATAGATAAAAACCTACAAAGTCAGGTAAAATAAAATAATAATTCTAAACATATTTTTCGAAGATATTAGATTCAATTTAAATGCATGGAAAAGTAAACAAAGGAATGCTACGGTGCGAATAACACTCCCATAATTAGTGGATGTTGCCACACGTCTTTCATTATTCTGCATGGCGAGGGCGCGTGCGCCCCTGTTACGTTTCTTGCGTCGTTCGCGGTGTTTCTGCAGAAACTGAACACAGGCTCTCCGTCCCTCATTATACTTCCATTTGTTTACTTTGTCTTGCTTTACATGTAACAAATCATTCTTCAAAGAAATAGTATCGGACATGTTTAGACGCAGGGTCGAAGAATTCGTCATGCGGGAGGTCGAGGGCAGACAGTACGGTGCCGAAGTAATGCCTGGTGAAGTGCAGAGTGTCTTGCGGACGTAGCAAGAGGATGGTTTGGAGGTAGTCTCGCACAGTTCCTGTGAGGGTTCCACTCTCTGTGACGTACCGTCCTCCTTCGGACACACGGGTGTTCTGATGACAACATTTGATAGATTCTACACAATTATATTGGTATAGTAAGCGGTAAGTTACATTTGTACACTAATTTGTACACTAATTTCCATTTTCACAATACAAATTACTGTTTGTTAAACGTATCTATCTACCCATCCGATGTTGATTAGTTCTGTTCTCTTATTTTCTAAAATAATTAAACTGCAATGTGACACACCTTGAATTCCAAAAAGTCCGACATTAGTTGTAGATCTTCTCGCCAAGAATCTCGTAGCGGCTCAGTCTTTTCGATTTCGTCTCTTTCAGGGATGACGTGCAGAAGTGGGTTAATATGGAAAATGTAGCAGTTGTCCGCCCACTCATGACTAACAGTGTAACCTGTGAAATAAACAAATAAGTGCTTGTAAAGGAATGTTCATTGATTAATGTCTATTTGATACGAACTTATTTTATTTCAGTTTGGCTACATAAAACAATTGCAAGTCAAAATAAATAATTTTGACGTTAGACCTAGTCAAATTACTATAAAAGTGCATTTGTTTATATGAAAGGCGATTTAACGAATATTAAAACAAAAATGAAGAACATTTTAAATTTTTTTCTTCTTATCTGACTATTTCTGACTATTTCAGTTGATTAGAAATTAGTTTACTATATGTCACTATACTAGTAGGTAACAAACCCATAGTAACGCTAATGTAAGCAGTTGCAATCGAAGCCGAGGAGACAATTATGTTAAAATTGAATAATAATAAATAACATCACGCCTTTTATCCCCGAAGGCGTAGGCAGAGGTGCACATTATGCCACTGTACAATGTAACACCCACTTTTCACTATTTATGTTATGAGTCCCATGTAGATTCCAGACTGCGTGCTACTACTGAGATTTTTTTTAAAAAACCCAGTAATATTTTGCCCGACCCGGGAATTGAACCCGAGACCCCTTGCGGCAGTCGCACTTGCGACCACTCGGCCAACGAGGCAGTCATTATAAATTGAATAATATTTAATTCAAATAAAAACTCATTAATACCTTTAAGTGTTAACACCGTCAATGTCTGATGGACGTACCCTGAAGGTTCGATGATATGCCGTTCAATCTTCACGACGAAAAATGGAGTGGCGTTTACTACCCCTTGAGTGACACCATGACTAACCTGGAGATACCAGATCACCACGTTTTATGACAAAAAAAATATTTAATGGTACTCTACGTACTTATGTCTTTTTGATTTATTTTTGTTACGTGATGAACATCCTCATGGACCTCATCGACATGGACACTTACCAGGTAAATCACAGCGTTGTTCCGCCTCTGCCTATGGCCGGGTCTCTGGCGTACTCAGCGGGCTTTGACCTATCGCTATATTAACGGCAGGTACGTCACGTAGCGGCCCTTGGAGGCTGCTTCCCTTCGTAGAGAGGGGTGTTAGGAACACTACGCTAACGCCTACTCCTAACAACTGGCGACTGACTCCCCAGACAGTCGCCAGTAGGCCTCTCCTATGGAGGTCGCAGATCGACAAGGAATATATTCATTAGTCAGTGCAAACTCCTAAAACTAACATACCACGCTAGATAGTTGGTGAATTAGTTAGGTTCCCCTCTGGCAACCTGATATTACATATTATCTACATATTTCATAATTGTTCAGTCGTTTCTACAGTCCACCCTCTATAAGCATTAGTTCCACAGCATTAGTTGCACTATTAGCTATTCGTTCATAGGAATGACCGCTTTTATGTAGTGACACAGAACATAATTATGTGAAACAAGTGCTTCAATGAGATTTTTACCATATAGTTGAAAGTACCATAAAAAGTCAGTAAGCGAATTATTAATAAAAAGACTCGTTATACGTAGGTACCCATATTATTATTTTTTTGAGACGGTAAATCATTTATTATCTTCTCCCGCCTTGGATAAGGCGATGGGGAGTGGCAGACTCTTATTTAATTGACTAACAAACATCCCGTTCCTACTCCTACTCTGAGTTTGTCGCGGGAGCAGTCATTCGATGATTTTCCCCCCTTAAAAAAACTCCTACTCTGAGCTGTAACCCCGGCAACCCGTTAAGACTTCCAGGGCCCCGTATCGGGCATCAGCCCTATCAGGCCGCATCTAAAATGGTCTGATGATTCTTTGAGGTGCGCGCTGAACGCGAGGTGCCGTACGCTCAGGTCTGGTCGGACAGCGAGCTGCCCATGATGTTCGCCCTGCGCAGGTCCGTGCTTACGGTGGTCGGAGATCATCTCGCGATCATCCAAGCCCAGAGTATCTCCCACGACGGCTCTGGGGCGTGATTCTTTTGTGTGTAATTTATTTAGACAATCAGACGAGGGTTTAGTCAGGTTGTATAAGTATTTTCTTTTTATATATTTAAAGTACTTTTACCGACTTCAAAAACAGGAGGAGGTACTATGTTCGGCTGATTGTTTTTTTTTTGTTTGTTTGCCGATCACTCCGCCATTTGTGAACCAATTTTAAAAATTCTTGTTTTGTTTGTAAGGGTATACTCCCGAGATGGTCCCATTTCTATGAGGTCAAGATCTGATGATGGAATCCTAAGGAAACTGATGGGAACTTTCAAAAATTGTAGGGGCAAATAATGCGTCTATTATGTTTTTCAATTAGGATTTTTACACACTACAATTTGATAAGGGTCTAGAGTCGACCTGATGATGGAGCCGACAGACAGTCGAGAGAACTCCTCAACGGTTTATATTAACTATATACATTGTGTTTGGGCTTGCTTAATTTGTATTGATGAGGACTTTACACCTAGAGCGTTTAAAACACCGACTTCAAAAAACCAAAAACTAATAACAAACGTAAGGTTTATCAGTACTAATAATAGGTATTTTTTGCTGTTTAGTTTTGACCTTTTGTTTTTTATTAGTTTTTGGCGTTTTGAAGTCGGTTTTTTAAACGCAGTTTTAATTTTTATTTATTAGTAACTATTACTATTCATAGCTATCTACTCACGTAAACACTTTCACAGATGGTTCCATCCATCATTACAGTTTCAGTCTTCACGGTGCCTTTGAACCGTCGTATGGCTATGTAGCGTAAGAACACCAGATTAGCACCTTCAAGTATAAAGTTGCGGGCTTTTTCAAAGTTGTGGTAGAATCTCTTCACCACATGCCTTTCCCCACAAATACGTGTCACCTTGTTATAGTAACCATTTTCACATATAGCCATGTAACTTCTTCGCTCTTTTGTCAAGTCTTTCTTTGTGGCGTGCCTGTGATTATGAAATTAATTGTGTATTTACTCAATTATCTACAATTACTAACATGAGATCGTTCTTACTTATTAACTAAAGCGAGAAAGATACTACTTTTTGGAAGATTGTGTACAGAAAAATCTTTCACGTGGGAAGACAGAGTTATAAATGTTTATAACTCTGTCTTCCTAATCACCCTTCAACCTTGCCTAATCATAGTTTAACTAATTAATCTTAAGAAATATCTATAAAATCTTACTCGACTCTATTTTCTTCCATTGTATGTAAGTTACAGTCTAGAATACTAACAAGCTTGGAGCCTGTTTTTGCACCTTCCTTTGACGAATATGAAACCATTTGCACAAGAAGTTTATCTTTGTCCTCGCCCAGAGTCTCAACACAAATGCTGATGCCTGGTGTTTAAAAAAACATGTAAGTTCTCTACATCTCTACTACTTGCTTTCATAAACCTAATGGCATTAAACATTCAACTTTAGTATTTTATAAAACTAAATAATTATGTAAAATAACTTTATGCTCTCTGACTGCGGTTATGTAATAGGTGGCGAGCTTGTCGTCATACTTGCGGATATAAAAGTCTCGTAGGTACTTTTCGCGACCTTAAGCCCACAGATGCAGAACACTAACAAGAAAATACTTAAAAGATATCTACCTCCAACAGCACTACAACAATCTAAAGATGGTTTTCTTGGTTTCTTCTCGAATTTCGGAGGTTTTGCACCATGGATAGGACATTCGTCAGTAGCTGGTTGATCATTTAAGCCTTTAATTTTGAACTGCTCTTGTGTTGTCTCTTCAGTCTTGGGCATTTCGTGTCTTCCGTAAGCATAATTGAAAAATGTATGACGTGGATCAACTTCATGGCACCATCTATAGCCATGTTTCCCTTTACGAAACTTTTTAATTTTTTTACTCGTGTCATCTGTGCATCGGCATGTGCAAACTAAATCTGACAATCCAGGTTTCGTTAAACAAACACATTCATCTGGTTTAACTGGAGAAGTATCACATATACACGGATTTGTACAATCACACGTAGTGAAGCATTTACAATCTTCTGGATTTTTACACGTACAAATCTTCACCGGAAAACATTTACAAACACCACCAGTAGTTTCCGGTGAGCATTTGCATACTTTGGGGGCATCACAACTACAAATCGATTTGTTTTCAGCCTGTCTGCATGGGATATCTTCGCACTCTTCTGGTTCACATTCACAAGTGCGTTGTACACCACATGTACATAACGATAAGCACGTACAATCTTTGCCTTTAAGGCAATAGCAAATTTTTTTAGGATCTGGTTTTTGGCAAACGCATGGTTCTTCTTCGATTACGCTTGGCTCGTTCAAACCTTCTTTTACAGATTCAATCCTAGGTTCTTGTGAAATTGTCTCCCCAAGTTCAGTGCTAATGTGGGTAAGTTCACCTTCCTCTGATACAGTTTCATCTAACGATTCCAAAGTTTGTAGAATCGGTTCAGAAGATTCGGGTTTAGTAATGGGTAAAAATCGGGGCTTATGTTTACATTGGCATATAGGACAAGGATATTTATCAGGGTGACATATACAAGGTTTATCAATTTTACCACAGGTGCAAACAGGCAATATTTTACCAGTGGGATCGCAAGTACATACTTCCGCATTTTCACATGTGCATGTAATTTGAGGATCCCCCGGAGCACAAACACATATATCTTTTAGTTCCGAGCACGTGCATGTGGCCTTAGCCTTAGCTCCACAAGTGCAAGGTACTTTTAAATAACATGGGCACTCTCCAGTTTTGTCTTTTTTACATGTACAGTAAATTTGTGTCTTCGCAGCTATATTTATTTTTGGCATGCCATCAACAACAATAATACTTGTTTTGCTATTTTGTGGCGGAGGAGGTTTGTTGCAATCGGGAAAAAAGTAAAAATAAAAATCGTTATCTTCTTCATCTTCCTCTTCTTGTACAACAGTTTCCGGAACATAGTCCTTTATTTCAAACGCTTGGTCACCTTTAGCTTCTTCTGATACCGTTGCTTCAGTAGAACTCTCACACGACCATTCTGATTCCGATTCTTCTTCTTCAAGATCACCTTCATAATGACCACAACTTATAATAAGTGTTTCTCCAAAACAAATTTCTTCTTTCATAGATGCATCTAAAAATAAATAAAGTTGTCTGTTATTTTTTGAAGTGTGGGAGAGTAAACGCGACGATAGCTTGGTTGTCGATGTGATAAAATAAAAAATGCGAGTGGACTGTATATAAAATGTAATGAAATGAATATTAACGAAATAACAAGATGGAACAAGAAATAATACGAAATATGGCAACAAGTAATAAAAATGCGTAAGCGCAGCCGTGCGTCTAGGCGTGCAACCGCTGCTGACTGGCGCGACGCGGGGCGCGGGCTCGGCTGTAGACCGGCCGGCGAGCCGCACCCCCCCGCGTCCCTCGTTCACTGCCGCTGGCGCGCGGGCGCGCCCGGCAATGTTGAGACAGGTGCCTCAACAGAGAGTCATACTTCGGCACGAACGGGCTAACTAGCCCGGAGTGATACCATCATCATCATCACATCAACAGCCTATAAGCTCACTGCTGAGCAAAGCTTCTTCTCACGATTCTCACGATGCTTGTTCAATGCAGGTGTGCGATTTCAAACTTATAATATTAAATTTTACCTAACTACTTAACTATTTTATAACTTGAAACTACTGATTTACTGAAGAACAGTTTCCGTTCAGTTTTCCTTATTTTATATTCCCACACACTGATACACGTTCATTCATCCAAAATACCTACTTAGACAACGACCATACGGCCGCATCTACCTAAGTTGAGAATGCCCTGCGTGGGTTGAACACCGCCGTGCCCTCAGGGACGTGATCGGCGACGGCGACCTCTCGTATCCGGCCCTAGTACGGGCCATGATGTGGAGCGAGGGGGACTGGGATGCCGTCTCCTCCTTTTGCGAAGCAATCATGCTAGCTAAGGAGGAGGCGGGGCGCATGAGGCAGCGAAGCGCTGCCTCCTCAGAACCCAGCCGTCGCGAAGGACACTCCGGGCGTCGGGGATCGCAAGACGATCTCCGGCCACCGTAAGCGCGGGCCTGCGGAAGGCGAGCATGGGTGGCTCGCCGCCCGACCAGAACCAGACCCGAGCGTACGGCGCGTCGCGGTTCGCGCGCGTCTCAAATAGTCATCAAACCAAAGTACATTGACGATTATATGTAAGAAAAAAACTACACAGTACAAAAATAAAGTACAATTTATTCTTATTTAGTATAATTTAGTAATATTTGTTTGTATTTTTGTCTAAGTGGCGCTGGAGAGTTATCGATTCAACATAAATCGATTAATATCGATATCGAATCGATAAGTTTACCGAAAAATACTTACGACTTTAATAGAAATGAAGTTTGCAAAAGTATTTTCGTGTACTTTATTATTCTTATAAAGTATAGAGTACAATTATCTTAAATAACGTACAATACTTTATTTTAAAGTACGGGTGGCAACCCTAGTTACCGGGGCTCCGGCTCGAAGTGCAGGAGTAGGAACGGGGTGGTTTTTAGTCAGTAAGAGTCTGACACTCCCTCCCGCCTCACCTAGGCGGGAGCAGTTATTCGACGATTATTCCCCTTAAAAAAAAAGTTGGGAAAACCTTAGTGCCTATTACATAAGTAGCTCTACACAATTTGGACAATATAACTTTTAAACGATGCTTAGGTATGTAATACCATTCATTTCACCTTACAGACGTCAACGAGCCGGTATATTACGGTCACAGGAAAAAATCCAAAGCTTAATTCCCGTTGGAATATCTTACTACAGTTCTTTGACAGGAGAAATATAATAGAAACAGAATTTAAACCTTTTGCTAAACCTAAAACTATGTATTTATGGACATAAAATAAATATGTACCTACATATTTATGTAAATAAATACCTAAAATAAAATGTGGGTAGGTAAATGGCAATGTGAGTTACAAAAACAAGACATTTAGTAGGTACCAATAACTTACCTATTTCAAATGGTAATTGTGTTGATAAATCTATTAATGATACGTGATCCTTTACCTCCATTTTCTTATATTGTGGCAATAAGCATTAATTTAAAAGGAATTGTAATATTGACATCATACCATATTTTTTAGTTTTTTTTTTTGTTTTTATGGCATTGACTTCTTTGCTTTTTTATGACTATTTCATCAAAACGGTCGTGTCTTTTGCGATGGTCCCTTTAAAATAAACTTAAAAATCGATAATTTTTGAATTTGCCGCTCTTTTATTTCGAATTTTCTTAATAAAACTAATCTTACCACCAACTTCTTTAAGTAAATCAGAAAAATATTCAGTTTCATTTGCAAATTTCCTTCGTAAACTAAATCAATAATAAAACATTGACAATTACTTCACCTCTTTCACAGAGAAAAAGAAACCTTTTTCTTTCCGATTTTTTACGCTCCGTATTACGTAAAGAATGTCTTGATGGCATCAAGGTTAATCATCGATTGTAAACTAGAATTTAATTTGCACTCTATGTTTATAAAAAAAACTGCATATTTGTTTGTTAAATTAGGTATTATTTTCAGTTTTATTTTAATTTTAACGAAAAGGTGTATTTTGTAATATTCGTTTAGCACTTACCTGTGCTGCGTCACACCGAACGACCGAACGATCGACTTGACAGATGATGTGGCCTAACGTCTAGCGATTTTTTATGAAATATTAATTATAATTGTTAGAATGCGAAAATGATTGTGTTAAAACTTATTTTATTTACGTTATTTATCTCAGTGTCACAATGCAGGATCCCTGATAAAGTGTATTGTGCTAACAAAGATTGTAATGGTAAGGCACCTTATTGGAATACAATGTCAGTTTTGATGGGATAACTTTCTAAAAACGTTCTTATTACCTTTCCAGGACCTATATCTAAAGTGAAAACATTACTAAGTTATAATAGCGGTGATCCAGACTTAATATCTTTTCGCGGAAACAGCGAGGCTATCGTTTATATGAAATCAGCTGGTACCAATCCAGACCTTTGGTTTGTGGACATTAGTGGAAAGACTGGATTTGTTAATAATAAGTTTTTAAGAGAAATAAAAGTTTTAGAAAGAAATCTGCAAATTGTTCCATATGAGGCTGACAAACAGGAAAATGTGAAACCTGACAAAGTACAACAACCTCATGAGGTAATTGAAGGTACAACAATATACACCACGGAGTCAGCTGTCAATGTTGCTCAGCAAGATACGTCTACCGAGTCACCATCTAATGAAGAACTCACTCCTTCACTAAACAGTGCAGAGGAAAATGCAAATGAAGATGAGGATGGTGAAGATCAGGATGAAGAAAATTTGGAGGATGAAAATGTATCAGATACTAATAAGAATTTAGATAATCAGAATACTGAGTCTAACACCGATTCACTTAACACAGCTCCTACAAATGAAGCAAGAACTACTATTGTCAATAAGAACATAGAATTATCTTCTGAAACAACACCTGAGTCAACACAACAGACAGCTGACAACAATTCTGGGCAAAAAGAGCCAGAAAAAGAACAAGATAGTACAGAGTTTCCTAAGGATGTTCCACCAGAGGCACCACCTCTACCGCAGTTGCTAGCTACCAACAGTAACGGTATGTTGAATAGTGATTCTGTTATAGAAGTACCCGAGAAACAAGATTTCCTACAAAATACTTTAAAGGAATCAGAACAGAATGACAGCAAAGAACAAAATACATCTTCAGTGAATAACAAAGCTGAAAATACACCTCAAGAAACTTTGACTGAAACCAATGTGCCTAATGGTAATTCCTTAAATGATGTTGTAGAGAATCTTAATGGAGAAATTGTAGATAATACTGAGAATGAAATTTCTGAAAACCCTACTAATGAACCCGAAGTTCCATCTGTAGCTGAACCTGTAGTACCCTCTGTTAATGAGCCTGAAGTTCCACCTGTCGCTGAACCTGTAGAACCATCTGTGAATGAGCCTGTAGTTCCACCTGTAAATGAACCTGTAGCACCTGTAAATGAACCTGTAGCACCTGTAAATGAACCTGTAGCACCTGTAAATGAACCTGTAGCACCTGTAAATGAACCTGTAGTGCCTGTAAATGAACCTGTAGTACCTGCAAATGAACCTGTAGTGCCTTCTGTAAATGAACCAATAGTTCCACCAGAAAATGAACCTATAGTTCAACCTACAAAAGAACCTATAGTTCCACCTGTAAATGAACCTATATTGCTTCCCGTACATGAGCCTGTAGTGCCTCCTGTAGTCAATCAAATAAACCAAGTCATACCACCTATTTACCCTAATATTAATGCAGGTAACCAACATAATGAAGTGCCTCAAGCCACTGTCATTGAATCAAATGAAAATACTACCCCACCAGAGGAACAAATGATACCTGCATCAATGGAAGCTTCTCCAACAATTGAACCAGTGCCAGCACCATCAACAGAGACCATACTCCCCATCTTTACTGATACTAATCTACCAACAACTACAGAGACAATACCACCACTGTTCTCTCAAGAACAACAGACTGTTCCTCCAGCTGACACAATCCCTCCACTGATGAACATGGAAGCTCCACCAACAACACAATTTCCAACACAAGACTTCCCACCAATCTTTACACAGATAACAACTCCTACACCAAACATTCCAGAGGAGTCATCCAACAATTTTGAAACACAAGGATCTGCATCTCAAGGAGAATCTTCATCATCTCCTTATGCAAGTGTGGAAGATGTTATTGCTGCATTACCAGATTCTACAGAGGAAACAAGTTCACCAACCGAGGCTCCTGTACAAGATGAGAATACAGAAGGTTTCTTTTCAAATATGTATTCTTCTATAGCAGACATCTGGCCATCTACAACTCAAGCTCCAGAACCACTATACAATACCGAATATCCCACATATGAGAGTGAGAAAGCTGATGGAAATGAAGGATTTTCATTTGTAAAATATTTTATGTCCACCTACTATTCAATAATGGGTACAAGTGAAGAGACAAAAGCCTTGTTTGCTTCAGTTGGTCAGTTATATTCAAATACCTAATAAAACAACTTTAAACTGTCAAACACCAAGCGGTCACCGGTGACCGCAACCTCTTGTTCTTTAATTGTGTCTATAATGACGGTACTCAACGAGTTAATTTTCATGAATATCGGATGACAACTTTTTACTTTAATTAATCAATATTGCATAATATTCTGTCATTCCATAACAAAAATATTATTAGTAAATTATACCATTAGTAACAAACATAATGAAATCATTACTGAAGTCATTTCATTTCAAACACTTCATTTGTTAACATAACATTGGCATTTACTTTACAAACTTCTGAACAACTACTTAAACAATATTTTACTACCCACCTATGTTTACAATCGACATCTGATAAGAATTTAATTCAGTGACAACATCGAAACTATAAGTTTCTTAGATAACAATACAATATACATGGTTACAGTTCACAAGTGACAGTAATCTTGAGTAGTTTTATCAGTTCTCTAAAGACTTATCGAAAGATTTATCTCTCATATTTCTGTATGAAAGAATCGCTTCACGTTGCGCCATGCGTAACGAAACCAAACTTCTACTAGAAAGATGTTAATAAAAAAAAATGTTTTTAAGAAATTTATTAGATCAATTTCTTTTTAATACATTATATGTGTTGTCTTCAGTGTTGCTAATAAAGAACTTTTATTATTTAAACTACTCTACTAATGGTATATTTTAAATTGGTGTTATCGATTTTGGTGAACTTCATTATCTGGTGTTTCAACTTCTAAATATGTTTGCAGGGCAAACATGCTTCAGTGACGAGTACTGCGATGGCACATCAAATGATGGAAGCAACAGACTCTTGACGTTCCTTCTGACCACAGCCAGTTCAGTCCTTCTCTTTACTCTGGGATACTATTACATAGATAATAGAAGACAAGATGGAAGACTCATTGGCACAATCAATTCACTACAACGAGATTTACTTTTCACAACTAAGGTATGATTTTTTAATATAATTTTATATTTGCTAAATTAAAATCAATTAACTGTTGTTCCAATTAATTACCACAGAGCAGTAAAATATGTAACTACCACTTTTATCCATATATGTAACTAGCGTTTACCCGCGGCTTCGCTCGCGTCACAAAAGAATAAAAAGTAGCCTATGTGACATATACCAATACACACAGCGCCATCTATTCCAATACTTTTGTTTTTCCTCGGGAATATAAATTTTTCCGGGTTAAAAAGTACCCTATTATTTTATCCGGCCTTCTAACTTTACGTCTGCAAAAATTCAAAGCAATCGGTTGAGTAGTTACGGCGTGAAGGTGGAACAAACAAACAAACTCACTTTCAGATTTATAATATTAGTAAGGATAGTAAGGATACCACTTTTATCTTACACATTGTAGGTATTTTAAATATTAAAGCTTAAATGCAATTTGTTCTGAACTACATTGGCTTAATTTTTTTTCACATAACGAAACTAATTCTAATCTTTCTCCACATTCCAGGAGTGCGAGATCCTCAAAGAAGAGTTAACATCTACCAAGAACAAGTTAGCCGGCATCGAAGACAGCTCATTTGGCATGGATGATATGGTGCAATCTCTTAAAGAAGAAATCAATGAGCTTAAGGCCACCAATGAAAGGCTACGGAACTCCTTAGATGATAATGAAAAGTTGCTCAGGGTGTCTGAAAATACTGCTGGAGAGCTGCAGAATACCCTGAGTGAGGTGGAGAATACTCTTAGTGAGCTCTTGGCTGAGAGAGCTAGCTCTGAAGAGCAAATAGTGGAATTAAATGGTAAGGCGATTTATTATTGTATTCAGTGACTAAGTTTAATGTGATAAAACAGGGAAAATGCTTTATAGTTTATAGCATCCTTAATGAACTTGAATCCTTAGCAAATGCATTAAAAATATTAACATAAGTATATTTAAGTAATTTCGACTTATTAATATTTAAACTGTCAAACACCGAGCGGTCACCGGTGACCGCAATCTATTGTTCTTTAATTGTGTCTATAAATATGGTACTCGACGAGTTAAATAATTGATCAGATAGTTTCATCTGGTATAATTTTTTCAGTAATAAGTCAAGTTTACAATCTTCAATTTTACTGATATTATTGAAGTTAATTAGTGCACTTAAGTATAAAAATAAAATGTATTAAATTAAATAAATGGTCATAGTCATTACTGACATGGCATTATATTTGTGAGCAATTTATCTGATACTGAAAAACATGACAATCAGCATGACGATGAAAGTTTAAATTAATGATTGTTGATGACTGCATGTTATCTATAAATCTAAATACATGTTTTGAAATTAATTTATTTAAGAATTCTATTCTTAGTAAGAAGATTCCAAAGGGTTAAAGTTTCCCTTGAATATATTATAGAATATTTAAATAAATTCTAAAATATTTTGTATATGGCGTATAGTTACGCAAATTAACTTAACATGCTATCATGAGATCGCCTACTAAGTTACTGTAACATAAGCCATTTTATCCATTAGCTGTTTTCTGTTTCAGCGAAAATTCAAGCGTTTGAAGAAGAACTAATATCAGTAAGTCGTGAACGAGATAACTTCCAGCTGAAGTATGTATCGGCTGAGAGTGCACTGGAAGAATTTAAAAAACAAAAGAAACAACATGAGGTCGTCAGCCAAAACTTGGCAGAGACTAAAAATAAAATGGAGCTGCAGGAACATGAAATAAAAGCTTTAAAAGTGAGTGAATTTTTACTGATTATTTTAGTTCATTCTATTGTTCAGATTCAACCTAATTTTTCACATTAACTCGTAATAAACATTGAATTATATTTCTACTTTGTGTGACTCAAACCCATGATAGTATTTTTAATGCATATTGTAATAAAATGTTAGGTTTATTAATTTCATCTCTATATGAACATAAACTGTGCTAGAATTCCATGTAGGTTTGTATAAAAAAGCCCTAAGTGTCATTAGGTGTCTTTGCAAAATCCCTAGACATATTCAAGCTGATATGATTACTTTTATTTCCAGGACGCTATAAAAGACTTATCTAATGGAATGCCAGCAAATGTGGATGCTACCACCTTCATTGACCACACAGAAATTAAGGCAAAACTCGCGAAGGCGTTAGAAGAGAAAAAAAGTTTTGAAACGAGATTTGAGGTCAGTGTGAAACTAATCTAATATGTATAATCATATTCATTTTAAATCTGCAATATTTCAATTACGAAAATGGTTCTTAACACTTAGGTAATAAAAATGTTTTTTGTACTACGAGCTCGAAATATTACCGCGTTCGGTGCTCGGTTTTGTCTACTCCAATAAACTATACAATTCTAAACTTATACTAAGTCAAAATCATTTATTTCAATTAGACAAGAAAGGCCCTTTTGAACGTCAACACAAAAATTAAAAGTGAAGCTATATACTCATTCCAAAGTGTAGATTCTTATGGAGAAGAACTAACAAGAAACTCCATAGGTTACTCTTTTTCAATCAGGTTCACAATACAATTCTCTAGTTACATAGTTTTGTTGTTTGGATTGTGCGAGAACAATGTAATACTAAAATTCAGTCAGAGATCGAAAAAGAAAATAACCTTAAGGACAATAAATAAATCAGTGTGGAGCTGACCAGTCCCTATTAGATTAATTGGGAATGATATTAATTTGCATTTTAACTCGTTGAGTACCGTCATTATAGACACAATTAAAGAACAATAGGTTGTGGTCACCGGTGACCGCTTAGTGTTTGACAGTTTAAGTAATCATTTATTTAGCTTTTATTTGATTTGTTGTCATTCTTGTGGTGCAGGTGGAACACCAAGAAAGGACGCGCCTTGCTGAGGAACTTAAGACAACGAAAGAAAGTCTAGCTAGCACAAGTCAGAACGCGACAGAGGCACTCACTAGACTGGAAGTGCTAGGGAAGTACTTCCAGGAGAGAGAGGGAGAACTGCTCAAGTAAGTATTCAAGATGTAATGTTGAAGACAATATTAAGATTACAATGTTGAGGAATCGGGCTTGCAAATCACTCGAACAATGCACCACACATTGATAAAAATAGCACTTAATCTTAGCGATGGTCTATATTATCTGATTATGTAGACAAATGTTTATTCATCACGTGATATATTTGTTTTCAGGGAGCTTAGCGCTAAAGAATCGTTATATTTGAGCAAGCAAGGCGAGTCAGCTAGTACGGTAGAAAAAATTGAACTTCTCCAGCAAGAAGTGCAGAGATACAAGTAAGTAGTAGATTGGTACCAACATCAATACATGACAATTATTACTTATATTAATTTCTTAAATCAACGAAAGCTATAAGCCGTATCTGTCGAGTATAAAAATTACAAAAAAAAATTGCTAAAAATTTTCGGGAAGAGAAAAACGAAGGCTTTTTGCCTATGTATACAAAGTTATGTAACTCCAACTGCACAATATGGCAAAGAACTTACTAAACAACAAACAGGTAATCTCTACACGTGTCTCGTCATGAATCATTGTTTTACTAATATTATTATGATCTCATGACAGTTTCATGGCAATCTGTCTTGATGCGCGATTTATAATGACATGTTTAAGGAAAAATATTATCAAGATTGTGCTATATTTTTACGCTTCAACTGGGGTAGCGACTTAACTGAGATGTATATAAAAATGCAAATAGGCCTTCTATTATATTTTTTGCTCAATAAAATATAAAGTTAATTTTAAAAGTAAGAATCGCTTTGTCATTATAACTAACTATAAAATATAAAGAGACAAGCCGTCGAGAGATCGCATCGATGTCTATAGATCAAACATTTCTTCCTGACATCAAAAAAAGTATTTCATCCACCTAACGGTATGGAAAGAAAGTATATTTTCATTATCTTATTTTTTATACACTATATAAAAGTGAAATGAGATTTCTTGTTAAAAATTATTAGAGAAACCTGATACTCATCATTTAAAAACTTATTAGGGAGAAATGCGACACGCTAACACTAGAATTAGCAGAGCAAGAATCGTCGCGTCGCTCAGCACTGAGCGAGGTGGAGACGCGCGCCCACAGCGCGTGGCTGGAGGCGCGGCAAGCCAAGCGCGAGCTGGACGCCGCGCGGGACGACGCCGCCGCGCTGCGACGCAAGCTCGCCGCGCTCGGCACCGCCGACGGAGCCGTGTCGCCGCATCACAGTATGTATTGTTGTCAATATTTACTTTATTATCTACTAACTATATCTACAATTCCAGCCCCATTACACTAATAATGTAAAAGCTAGTTAAATGAAATATAATAATATTTGAATGTAAGTATATGATATTGACTTTTTGGGTACGTATTTATGTCATTGTGTCTTGCATAACTGACGATTTTGGATAACAATCCGTCCGATATGGTCCGTGAGAGTAATATTGTCATAATCCAACAGTATAAACTAGGATAAATACATTAATACAGGAACCACTAGTTCATAATAATGTTACAGGACGTTAAATTCTGATTTTATCTTGTAACTCTAGGATCCTTAGGAAATTCAGTAAACTGTCTCTCCCTTATATGAACAGTTTTCTCACAACCCAAACACTAACATAACTATGTGCAACAGAAGTGTCTTCTCCCCTGGAGCCGGGCGAGGCAGTGCTCCCCCCGCCGCTGCCCCCCATGTTCCTGCCGCCGCCCCTGCTGCCCCCCCTGCCGCGCCCGCCGCCGCTGGGCAGGCTGCCCTCGCCACATCCACCACGGTATGTTTACATTTATAGCTAGTTATTTTACTTATTAAATAACTATCTGTTTGTATCCATTATTAATTTAGGCCTTTTAAATGAACTATACATTACTTTTGCGTATTAAGCGACTGCCAGTCACAAAGCAGATGTCATTACTCTACCTACCTTGAGGACACCCTCCGGTACATTAGGTCAACTTTAAAACCAGCCAGCTTACTAGTCAGCTAGGCAATGCATTGAAAAACGCATTATCAACATTACTACTACTACTACTTAAACTGTTTTCATCAACTTCCATGAATTAACAAACCATATTACATATTTCAGATACGGTGACAGGCGCTACTCTCCAGATAGCAGATACTCGCCTGAGAGCAGATACTCGCCGGACAGTCGGTACTCGCCTGAAACCGTGAGATACTCGCCCGACAGTCGGTACTCGCCGCGGTCGAGGCGGTCTCCTTACTCGCCCAGGTCGAGACGACGATCGAGATCCAGGGAAAGGTAATATTATTCATTGCATATTCAGTATTGATCTAGTATAAGGATGTGATTGACTGTACTGGTACGAAACATGACGCAGGTTTGATTTCCGCATCGAACAACTTCTTGTGTGATCCTGTCATCAAAATGTGCACAGGAGGTAAACCCCAATGTATTTTTTTAATAACAAATAAGGAATTTAACGCACGTAACAGATTTTTTTTTCAAGATGCCTATTATGTGCTTTTGGTTTATTTCCCAAAATGGCGCATTGAAAATTAGTAGTCTTATTCTCATTGCCTTCCGCCTTATTTTATTTAATAATCCACTCATGAGACTTTTAACTTTCGACTTATTGTGAAGTTGTCTTATTCGTATTATTTCTTGTCGTATAACGACCCTGTTAAATGTCAAAGGTCTTCTACAATCAATATTATCAATGAGAATGGATGTTGGATGTTAAAAAATATTGTCTTCGAAATATTTCACAACAACATTCGTAAGATAAGGATTGTTCGTGTGACGTTAAATGAAACTTAAATGACGTCTTATTCCTGTTTATTAATTTACATACCTACTTAAAGAAACTGGAATCTGTCTGGTGTATGTCAGTAATACAACACGATATAGGACTCATAAATCATATCAAAAATTGCTAGTGATATTTTATAAATACCTTTGAGAAATCGTACTCTATTATGTTTGCGAGAAAGCATGAATTTATGTCTGTTACTCTTTCATACAATAAAGTATTACTTAAAAGATCTGAATGAAATATATGAATGTCTGGAATAACGCATAGGCTTTTTAATCCGGATAACGAAGCCCCTGGCCGAACTAAGCTAGTACTTTATATTTATAAAAAAATAAAATTACATAGGTACGAAGACCGTGCGCCCCGATCACGGAATGGTCCCGCGCCGCCTTTGGACACTGAAACCGAATACAACTCAGACAGCCCGACACGCCTGCCTCGCAGACGTGGGAGATACTCAAGACATTCAGGTAAATACTTTTGACTCTGTGATTCTGATCTATTATACTTAGCATGCAGGTCGCATGGAATTAAACTTAAGTTCTGCAGTTATTATTTGTTATGGGCAATTATTTTTTCGAGTTATTGTATGCTTGTTAATCTAGATTTTTGATAGAAACTCATAGAAGTAATGCCAAGTAACGTCGTAGTAAGTATATAAAATAGCTTTCAAATCTCTGACTGCCTCGTTGGCCGAGTGGTCGCAAGTGCGACTGCCGGGCAAGGGGTCTCGGGTTCGATTCCCGGGTCGGGCAAAGTATTACTGGGTTTTTAAAAATCTCAGTAGTAGCACGGAGTCTGGAAAAATGTGCCCGGTATATGGCAATAGGCTCACCCCCTATTACATGGGACTCGTAACATAAATAGTGAAAAGTGGGTGTTTCATTGTACAGTGGCATTAAGTGCCGTAATGTGCACCTCTGCCTACCCCTTCGGGGATAAAAGGCGTGATGTTATGCTTTCAAATCAATTATGAACGTATTTTGCTAAATTCGTACTGAAAGATTGGATAAATTATTTTGAGTGTTAGTTAAAGACCAGTCGCCTTATACTCGAGCGATATCTTGTCATTTGAACTAATTAGTTGTTAGTGTTTTTATGTTCAAAACGTCCTTGTTTTTTCGACTTTGCAAGTAACTCATAATATCTTCATTTGTTTTGTTTCTTGCCGCTTAAGACTTAAGAGAGTAACGCTTACTTTTTTAATAACAGCTCCACAGCAACGCAGGTAAGGAATTCCATTACTAACATCATAATAATATCCACAATATTTTTGCTCCCAATTCTTTGTTTGTCTAGATATTTAAGGCTCGAGCAGACTGGATGCGTATACATGCGTAAATGTAAGCATAGACATGCATATACCATTGAGTTAAAATTATGTGGACTTGTATAAGACAGGTCACACTGCTTGCGTAACGTGCACATGTGCATCAACGAGCAGTTCCATACATTACAAGTCAGTAGTACGTGCACGTCTACGTATTCTGTTCTGTCTACTCTAGTCTTTAGTATGAACGAAAGGATGATTACTGATTGTGTCTTCTCTATTTTATTACAGGGCCTAGCTCAGGTTCAGGTTGTTCATCAGAATCGGATAAATGAAGCGGTCTCAATAGGTTACTATACCAAGATCTACGCAATGTATGATATGATGCCAAAATTGGTTATGGTGGTTCACGAATGTAATAGTTGTGAGAAATAAACATTTAAAACTTATGACGTGGAAAATCTACAGCTTTATAATAGTTGCTATTGGGTTTTATTCGGTTGTATCCCTTTAATAAACCATACTGTGGTGTGAAGTGAAAATGAAAATATATGACGGAAAAGGTTGCAATTTATTCCAATGTTGTCTGTGATTGAACTGTAGCTCTCCATAATATGAATTATTTAGAAAGTAATACCGACATTCAATCAACATTTCTCAGTGGTCCAGGTTAATGGAATTGCAATTCTAAATTTAGTCATTACGGCGGCATATAGTAATAAAAAAATAGAATCTTTCGATTACTTGAAGGCTGATCAATAAAAGTGTTTACGGTATCTTAGTAGTTTGTTAGTCAAATGCCTGAACAGAAACTGAACAGCCTTTTAATATCAACGCAATATATTTTATAATTAGAAAATAAAGTAACCGAGACTGTATTATAGGTGCACTTAGATCACGACAGATCTTTCCGTACGAGCAACTCAATAGAATCTACTTATAATTAAACTTTTGAGCCATAGTTATCCGGAAAGACTGCTAATATTGAATTAGGGAAAATAAATTATTATAATTGTTGATTAATAGTCACATGTTGATTAATTGAGTAATTAAAAAATAAACAGTAAGTCTTCCTTATCCGCGATTGTGCAATTAAACTTGCCATTGCTAAATTAAATCGTCAGTGTTGCCTGGTCATTAAAATAAATGGAAATAGCAGTACTGTGGATTCAGAGATCCTGCCAGTTATGTAAAGGTATATAATGTAAATAAAATACTCGAACCGAAAAGGAACATAACATTAAAATAATAAAAAACAGACAATAACAGTGTCTGCAATAGTCATTATGTTTGGTGCTGTTCTGTATTACGCAGTCATCTTATAACGAATTTATTTTTCTAGACATTTTAAACTGCATTTAAAAAGCATATTATCTGAACCAAAGCGTCTTTAATGTTCTGTTCTTGTACCTGATTCATTAATTATTTCAATTAATTATTTTCGTCACTAAATAATTGTGTGTTCCTAATTTAAATTGTAGTAAAATTAATTTTACATTTTTTTTTCCTTTTTCATTCAAATTGTACTTACAGTTCACATTGTATACACTGTTAATTAATAAATAGTTGCCACCTAAGAAATAAGAAATTAAAATAGTATTGTAATGTCAATAGGTAACCCGTCATGAAAATTGCAATCTTTAATTTATTGAACATTTGTTGTTTTTGTTTAGTCAGTTAAATGTATTATAATTATTAGATACGATTTTAAAATAAATGATTTTATCATGTAACTGCTTTGTGTAATGATTGAAAGAGCACCTTTTTTGTGTTGTTTTACCAATAACTTATCAAAAATTCCATCTAAAATTTCCGCTCTCTTTGATTCCTATCCAGTTCCTTTTGTTATTGCTAATTAAAATGTGTACTTCCCATAAAACAACAAAATAAAAACGTAAATATTTATTCATTTACAAATGAACAGTTCTGTTAAAAAATAACAAAAAATGATCCAATGTAATTACCGTTGACAACGAAGGTAACTTTAAAAACATTGGTTTTAACTTAATTTATAACGCATTTACGTATTTGCATTAAGTATATTAAATTATTTGACGGTATTATGCGATGTTACAAAACTGTTTCACAACCTCTATTTTAGCTTTGGTAGATATTACGTGACTAAGGTACGACGTTCCAGGGTACAAAGCTACCTTCCTTCGGTTGATCGAGCTGGAAAAATAAATCATTATCATTTTAAATAACTATTACCGTTACTATTTTGATTAAAAAAATCCATATTAAATTATTTTACCTTCTGTGTAATGTGGTCCTCACAGGCCATACGAATGCGTGCAGAGGTTGCCGGCGCATCCAAACGGAATTCCAAAGACACTCCAGCATCAGCACGTGCTGCTTTTATAGCCTCTTTTATAGCAAAGAATGCTGATGACGCCAAGAATAACGGCGGTTCACCGACAGCCTGGAAAACATAATTTTATCGCATTTGTGGAAAACTAGATAAGTACCCTAGATCTAGACAGCATAAAATGCCCAATATTCACCTTCGAAGAATACACTGCTCTTGGATTCGGAGCTCCTTTCAGCAGAGACACATTAAATTCTTGTGGAATGTCGCCAAATCCAGGTATTTTATAAGCACCGGGTCCTCTTGAGAACAATGTACCATTTGGAGAGTAAATTAGCTCTTCAATAGTGAATAAGCCATAACCCTGCATGAAGGCGCCTTCGATTTGGCCAATATCTATAGCTGGATTCAAACTTTCACCCAGATCCATTACAATATCACTTCTAATTACTTGATGATCACCACTGAGGCAGTCTATTTCGACCTCGGTACATGCAGCACCAAACGTAAAGTAATTAAAGGGTATGCCTGTGTTCGTCTTTATATCATAACCAATATTAGGCGTGGCATAGAACCCTGTAGCAGATAAGCTCACTCGGTCGATCCAAGCAGATAAAACCCAATCTTCCCATTTACCATTGGGATTCTTTTCTTTGAAAGGTTGTAATCTTTTCGCGAGTGTCTCGCAAGCTTGTAACACAGCCATGCCATTCAAGTCTGAGCCAGCACTAGCTGCCGTAGCTGAAGTATTCGGTACTTTGTCTGTTGAAGTTTCGCTGATGTGAATCTTAGACACGTCCACGCCAAGTGCACGTGAAGCGACCTGTATCATTTTGGTGTGAAGGCCTTGACCCATTTCTGTACCACCATGAGATAGGAGAACAGATCCATCCATATAAATCAGCACTAAAGCACCAGCTTGATTTAGCAATTTCTCGGTAAACGCTATTCCAAATTTGGTTGGAATAATCGCTATACCGCGCTTTCTCCATCTGTGTTCCCTGAAAATAATCAAAATAATTGTGTGATGAAGTTAGTACTCCTAATAAAAAGTTTGAGAATTTTAAAAGAATGGACTCAATCTAAGAGATAATCAATAAACTCACTTGTTGAATTGTTCGATAAATTGCCTCCTTTCAGCTAATTTGCTCTTTTCAATACATTCATCCCAACACCTTTGTAGCGTGCAATTTTCCAACGATTGGTTGTAGTGAGTTATAGAATTCTCTCTGTACAAGTTAATCCTGCGGATTTCATCAGAACTTTTTCCTAATTTAAATGCTATGTCTTCAATTATGTTCTCCGCACCAAACATACCCTGCGGGCCACCGAAACCTCGGAACGCAGTATTCGAAGGTAAGTTAGTTTTGCAAACGTGTCCGGTGACTTCAGCATTGGGCACGTAATAAGCATTCTCGTAGTGGAACATTGCCCTTTCTACTACCTGTAATTATATTATTGTTTAATTAAAGTTATTTACCTACTTGTATCATAAGTGTCTCGTTGTAGTAAAATTTTAAATATATAGTAATTTACTTACGGGGCCTGATAAATCTATAGAGTACCCTCCATTATTGTAAATGTTAACTTGTGCACCCATTAGTTTTCCTTCTTGAGTTACAGCAACTTTGTATTTGATCAAGAATGGATGTCTTGTGCCAGTCATCATCATGTCTTCATCTCTGTCAAGCATGCATCGCACTGGCTTCTGGAGCTTATGAGCTGCAAACGCAACAGGTAACGCCACCAGCATTCCACGAGATTCTTTACCACCAAATCCACCACCCATACGCTTTACTCGAGCTACGATCCTATTCATCGGTACGTGTAGAATGTGACTGATTAGTTTCTGAAATATTAACAAAACACATGAGGTAAATTACATAAGTACATACATTGTTTGATAAATAAATAGATACTTACCGCTATTTCTGAAGGATGTTGACTTGAGCAGAACACTTCTAATTCATCGTCTTCTTTTTTAGGAATCGCAAATGCCGCATGTGTCTCCAAATAAAAATGTTCCTGTCCACCCATTCGACACTGTCCCTCTATAACGATATTGTTCTTGTCATCAAAAGCCTTCTGAACATCACCTCTCCTTATAGTTTTAGGAAATTGTGGATAAAATGAGTTCTTCTCAATAGCGTCTTCTATTGTTACTATGATTGGATGTATATCTTCGTATTCGATTTCAACCATCCTAGCTGCTTCTTGAGCAATAGCTTGATCTTTTGCTACAATAACACCAATAGTCTGGCCCTGGCTTATTACTTTCTCACTAGCAAATAGCTCTTCATCATGGAAAATAGGACCAATTGCGTTTTGTTCAGGCGTCAAGTCCTTTGCGGAAAAGAACGCGACAACGCCAGTTTGTTTCAGAGCTTTTTCGGGGTTTACTGAAAGTAATTTTGCATGTGCTCTCGTACTTAAAACAAATGCCAAATACAGCTCTCCTTCAGCTGCAGGCATGTCATCACAGTAGATAGCTTCGCCAGTGGTTTGCTTGAATGCTGACATGTGAGTCAGCGGCCTTCCGACGGCGTCGCTTTTAATCTGTTCATCTCCAACCAAATCAAAATATTGAGCACTTTTAGGTATATCGCCATGGAATTGTTCAGCGCCGCTGCTATGATAAGGCAAGATAAGATCCTCATGAATATAGTCCTTAGTCATTTGCTTAGCAATAGCTAAATAAGCTTTGAAGAACAAACTCATAGTTAAAGTCCTCCTGAATTGTATATTTCCTCCAGGTGCTGATGGGTTCAGTGGTAACTCTTCGATTAAAGACGAGAAAGCTTTGTCCAGCATAGCTTCGTTCCATTTTTCTCCTTTAAGAGATTCACTCGTCTTAGTAGCCAGTTTAGTAACTGGAGCCATACCACCATAAGCGATATTGATGTATTTTATAACATTCGTATTGGTTTCAAATTCGACGTTTATTGCTGCTGTAACAATAGAAATATCGTCTTCTCTCCTTTTAGCTTGTTTATATGCCATCACGTACTGGTACTTATTAGTATAAGGAAGTTCTATGGACAATAATATTTCGTTTGGTTTCACTACATTTCTCCTATAACCAGTGAAAAATGTTTCGTCCATTAAAACAGAGCGGTGTCCTCCATCTTCACTTAACAGATTAAGTTTTACTTTTAAAGCCATTAGTATCGGATTTAAATCTGATATAGGACTACCCGTCATTATGTTTCCACCTATAGCTGCAACGTTTCTAATCTGTTTGCCTGCGAACCAGTTAAGCATATCAATAATGGTGACGAATGATCGTGTTTTATATTTCGGCAAATCGTTAATATATTTTCTTAAATTGTTTTCTATCTCCATTAAAGTTACTGCTGCTCCAATAGTTAATCCATTCTCATTTTCAGTAATGGCATTTAGTTCTGGCACGCAGTTTGGCATTATTATAGTTGGATACACGCAATGTTTGAATTTAACTTCAACTCCAACCTCAGTATTGCCTACAACTATTTTCGCTTCGGGATACTTGCTTTTCAATTTCAACATGGAGCTTAAGTCTTTTGGCCTGTACCATGAAACTTTCTGTCCCTTAAATAATAAGGATTGTTCATCGTACACGGAATATAACTTTAGTTCAGGTGGAAATATAGGCTCTTGAGTATTATCGTATGGCAAGAATGAGGATCTGTCGAATATATGTTCTGTTTCACTTGGTTCTTCGTCTTTATCAGTCTTGTTTTTACAACAGTCTTTGCCCATGGCACAGACACGATTTTGGCCATTTGGTTCTCCGTTAGAAGTTCCATTTGCTGTGTTTGCAATACGTTGCGTCTCCCAGTCTTCTATGAATGTTTTGTAGCCTTCTATAATGGCTCTGTACCCTGTACATCTGCAAAGGTTTCCTTGGAAGGCTACTTCCATATCATTGTATGATATTGTAGTATTGGTCCTTAGTAAAGTGTACATGGACATAACAATGCCCGGTGTACAGAATCCACACTGTGAGCCGTGCGCCTTAGCTATACGTTCTTGTACTGGATGTAATCTGGTTTTGGTTGACCCAATACCTTCTACTGTGGTGACGGCTAGGCCATGCATAGCGCACACTGGTGCTAAACATGCATTTACTGCTAAGTGACTGAGTACAATGGTTAGGGAAAATTATTTCATTTTAGTTGCATGAAAACGAGATTTGTTTTACTTATGCAATACGTATATCTATCCTTGAATGGTATACATATTGAAATAAAGATAACGCCAGATACGATGAATTGCTAACTCTTAACAGGTACACATGACACTTAACATATAAGTGTATATTTTAAGGATGTACCTCTACTTAGTATTGTTGTCTATATTATAGCATACGTGAATAACTATCAACATTTATCTACCAAACATTTACACATATTTGAAAATGAAAAAGTACGAGTACATATTTTGTTATTTGTTTCAACTAAAATTATGCAGACTTTTTCATTTTACGCGACATGACTCTCAGAAATAATTTCCAAGTGCATAACTAGCTTAATACTACAACATTTTAAATAGTAGGGGAGCCCATGAAGGGATTTCGGTAGTTACTCGAGCGCGTCAGATTAACATATGAGGAAAACCTAGTGTCATGTTGAATAAAGGAAGTGCGTTTAAAAAATCTGCCCATTCCAACTTGATTTGCAAGAGTGGGGGCATTTTGAAGGGTTCTCGTTTGTACTCTCCAGAACATTCAACCCCACCATGCAAACTGGCAGATTAAGAGTTTTTTATTATTAAATACACATGGAGCATGTACACTATTAATATCTGACACGCTCGACCACTAGAAGAAAAGTTACGCTTAACAATTTCAAAGATCTGTGAATTACCCTTTCCCCCACCGGTGGATGAAATTGTCACTAAACCATTTCTTTATTCTATCAGCATATCTTCAAAATCCAGTAGGTTCCAACGACGCTCAAGTAAATCCAAATTTAGCATCGTGGGCTCCCCTACTAAAAACTTGTACACAACCTAATCGTATGGGGTGCGATTCTTATTATATTTAAAAAGGATACTGTACTTTCTTCTCTTTTCGGTTGAATTTAGAAATCATGACGGTGCAAGCGCCACAGCCACCTTCTGCACAGCCTAGCTTGGTGCCAGTCAGACGAAGCTTCTTGCGAAGATACCAGAGGAGAGTCCATTCTGGGTCAGGATTGGGTTCAACCACCTGGAAATTATAAAGGTAAAATTATCAAAACATAACAATAAAATGAACATCCATTCGATGTTTTAAAATTTTTAATTATCTACACTTTGTTGTAGACTGTTTTTCAAATGTGGCAAAAACGAAAAAATTGCCGTGAAGGGATAAGAATTTGGTAATATTTTTGTATCACCTGACAATAGTAGTTGCAGTTCTTAATACATACTTATCCTATTTATTTAACAACGACAACCTGATCCGTTTACTTACAAATGGAAGATTTTTTATCAGAAATATAAGTTACCGTATCTCTAAGTCTATAATTACAATCTAATTGTCTCTACCTACATAACTGGTTTGTTATTTCCTTGTTTCATTGAGATAGAATTAAAACACTAACTGTCTATACACCTACATACTTAGACACCTAATTACAACGGTATTCATAGGTATGGAGGTAGGTAAGCACAGGGTCGTTGGCATGATTCTTATTATTAGCTCGAATCCTTCACAAATGTTCCATTTATATCCTATCCTAGGTACTACTTACTAAGCGTAACACGTGTATCTAACCATTTTCTGCAACTTGATATTTGTTTTAATTTTGTAAATAGCTCTACCTTCTTAATACAAAACATTCTTTAATCAGTAACAATTTATGAAGAACTAGCTGGACCCGGCAAACTTCGTATCGCCTAATATTTTTGCTCACCTTTTAAACCTTCCCTGGACTTTCACGAACATTTCAAGACCAAAATTAGCTAAATCGGTTCAGCCGTTCTCGAGTTTTGGTGAGACTAACGAAACGAACGTAAATTCATTTTTATTTATATAGATAGATAGATAAAACATGTCGTAATTTTACGAAAAATCAGTGACTTAACGTCTTATGAGTATATGTTAGATACATATACTCATATAGCAAATGGTAATTTACCTAAAATATAATATGATATTTAATATTCGGCTGTTTTGTTAGCCAATAAATAGATATCAGCAATTACATTTTAGTTAATTAGATGTTAAGTGATTTGGAGATACAAAAGTCCGTACCTATATCTCCAATAACCTCTCAATAATCGTTTATATTGTTGTAAATTGATAATATTCTGAACTGTATTATTGATCCCAACAGTTCCGGCATTAGGTATGAGATAATTAATTAAAATTATTATCAATTCATGCTCCAGTAGTTGGAGCCAAGAGCTATGGCCATGATATTCACAGACCATTGGTTTGTAAGATTGTAATGTGCCAAGCTTCATATTAAATCAAACAAACACTTATAGACCATAAATTACACAATGGTATTTTGCCGAAGCCTTAACAAATTTTAAACAAGACCATCGTGCCAATAAATCCCAATAATAAATGTTTCAGATATGCTTAATCTATGAACTTAAATTATAAACAACTAGAAGTACATAGATATCAACATTAATAAATTGCTCTGCAACATATTTGCTGGCCATATCACATTTAAAAGATAATTGACCACTAAACGAGCAAACAATATACATACTTTATATAAATTACTGAATACGGGTCAACGTTATTATTATGATTAAAGAGGAGGGCGTAATAGGTCAGTACTATCAGGGCCATTCTGGCGACGAAGCCTCTCCGAACAATATTCTTAACAAAAACAGTCAAATGACGCAATATTGGTCGTATCAAACGTTTTCGATGTTTTCATTTTATTGTATCTGCGTAAGTTATATGATATAGCTTTGTTATTCGCTCTGTATCCCCTTAAGTTTCATAGCGCGATGTTAGACTATATAAGCATGGGAAAGAAATACAAAAAGCGAAAATTATTCATTAATTTAAAAAAATAAACCCGGACGTATAAAAAACATCTTAAACAGAAAGAAAATCCTGTAAATATAAAGAAAAATAACCAAAAGCAACCAAAAAATCGATGTCTCTTTAGGGACACAAACTACTTCTATTTATGTTTGTTTTTGTTAGAAACATGTCTGTCATATTTCGAAATCACGAGTCGTGTGGAATGTCACATTTGATAGCAAACATTAGTTTCATGAATGTTTATTTTGATATCTATCAGAGGGCTTAGTACGAGTTTCTTTTTCGTTCAAAGTAATCGTAACGAATACGCGTTCGCCGCTGTGATTGGCCGGCTCCAATGAACAATCCAATCAGAGCACCGAACGCCGTCTCGTTTCGATTACTTTAACCGAAAAAGAAACTCGTACTAAGCCCTCTGCATTTATTTCCATGTCGAAATTTAAGTAACTACTTTGTATGGTACAAATTAGTGCAATAATTTTATACTTATTTCTACCCTATTCCTTCCGTCCCATTGTTGCCCTGTTCCAACCATTAAAATATAAACCTCGAAAATACATAAGTACCTATAGCTTACAAGTCAACGTGCCTAATATGATGGAACCATTACATTTCAGACTCTAATTATTTGTGTTTATATCACCACATATACTTATGTCTTTTTTGATCATCAAATGAATATTTTATGCGGTACCTACCTACCTACCATAATAAATAGTGTTAAAATGCCCAGAGAATATCATTCATGTTGTGAAAGTAGATATTATTATTATATAGGTACCTATCTGTTTACCTTTAATATCTTATCTTCAGCGATTAAACCCAGCGTGGTTAGTGTTTTTTTTATTAGATTATATAAAATAAACTTAAAATAATTATACAATTAAGGGTACCTGCCTTCTTTTTTACTCTTAGACCTAAATTGTCTTGTTCCCAACTCCCAACTTTTCCCATACCTACTCCAATTGAAGTTATTCCACGAAAAGTGTCACTAATTTAGATGTTCTTCTCATAAGGATAACATAACATTACTCACCTTTTTCCCATTCACAAAGAAAACCAACTCCGAACAAATGTCACCGGTGTCTTCTTCTAAATTCAACAAACCCATGTTGGCTTATAAACTGTATTGTTTTTCCAAATAAATACGGATGTTATTTAGAAATGTCGGGCACGTCTTACAATGTGACGGTATGAAACACAACTGACAAACAAATGACGATGTGATCGCCGGTTGCGTCGTCTTGCCTTGTTATCCGTGCGCCCGCGCCACACAACACATCCACATGGACAGTCAACCAGTAATAAATAACTTGTTATCTCCTCCATAGTTACGTATTATACAAGTTATAAAAAGATCAACTTGTGAAATCTTCAACTGTTACTAATCATTAGAATGAACTTGATATAGCGAGGTCATTAAAAACGCGTTTAAATCTATCGATAATATAAAAACCAAAAAAATAAGGTGTTGCTAAAATATGTGAAATCATTGTGTATCAAACTATTTAAGAGACTATGTTAAGAAATTGTTTAGATTTTTTCACTTTATTTGCTTAAAATGTCAGTGTTAATTTATTCCGCACATGTGTGATATGTATAAAAATATATTCTACAAGTTCTTACATAACAATATTTTGTGATCGTATGAATTATACATATAGTTAATTAATATATGAGTCAGAAACACCTGACACAAATGTGTGTGGCCCAAAAACCAAATTTAACCTAGACATCCAACACAAAAAAATAATAGACAACATAACATCACGCCTTTTTATCCCCGAAGGGGTAGGCAGAGGTGCACATTATACCACTGTACAATGTAACACCCACTTTTCACTATTTATGTTATGAGTCCCATGTAATAGGGGGTGAGCCTATTGCCATATACCGGGCACAATTCCAGACTCCGTGCTACTACTGAGAATATTTAAAAACCCAGTAATACTTTGCCCGACCCGGGAATCGAACCCGAGACCCCTTGTCCGGCAGTCGCACTTACGACCACTCGGCCAACGAGGCAGTCTAAAAATAATAGAATAGTGTAAAAAAGTAGTGTCAATTTTATTACTCGACCGTATGCTGTAGCTAAACTATTATTACTACTACATACATAACTAACAACCGACAAATGCATACAATAAAGCACAATTGCACACATTCTGCGCGTGACAAATATACTTGAATACTAGAATTTTCCTCTGCACAATGACTAGGTCTTAATTGTAGACCATAAATTGGAAACCCTATACTACATATTTTTACAATTAACTAATAAGTATCGGCTACCGACCCATTGATGACTTATAAGCCACTTCCCCCAATTGACTCGGTGTCAACTCAATGTCCATTAGTTACAGTAACCTCTACAGCCACCGCCCCACCGGTCGTCGGCAGAGACTGTGCTTGATGAATAATAATAATCTAAGAAATGTGTCTTGGGTCTTTGTAATCTATCAAGCTGTATAAACCTGATTATGAACAAAAGAGTGTCCCTGCTTTGTATCTTATATATTGTTATCTTTTTTATTTAAATGTATCAATTATAGTTACTTAGTTATTTACAAATGCAGCATAAACTTTTAACAATTCTGACTACATTTTGAGGCACAATTACAGGGGGGTGCCCCCCCTCCTGAATCTCCCCAATCCTTGAATCCCCAACAAGTCTCAAACTCCTAACCCCCAAACCGGTAACGCACTTTTAACGTCTCTGGTGTTCCAGGTGTCCATGGGCGACGCCGATTGATTACCATAAGATGATCCGTAAAAGTATGCTCGTTTACTGACTTACGCAATAAAAAAATTCCTTTGACCAATTAACTGTCTCCTAAGGCTCCCGTTTTTGATCGGCGATGGCGACTTCTCGCGTCCGGCCCTAATGCGGAGCGAGGGGGACTGGGATGCCGTCTCCTTTTGCGAAGCAGTCTCATGCTAGTTAAGGAGGAGGCAGGGCGCATGAGGCAGCGAAGCGCTGCCTCCTCACAGCCCAGCCGTCGCGAAAGACACTCCGGGCATCGGGGATCGCGGGACGATCTCCGACCACCATAAGCGCGGGCCTGCGGACAGCGAGCATAGGTGGCTCGCCGCCCGACCAGAACCAGACCCGAGCGTACGGCGCGTCGCGGTCCACGCGCTCCTCAAATAATCATCAGACCACCACGGATGGGTCCCAAGAGGGCTGATGCCGATTCGGAGCCGGATTAATTAACGGGGAACCGGGGCTCCGGCTCGAAGGGCAGGAGTAGGAACGGGTTGGTTTTTAGTCAGTAAGAGTCTGACACTCTCTCCCGCCTCACCCAGGCGGGAGCTGTAATTCTATGATTTCCCCCCTTAAAAAAACTGGTTCCGTTTTGGCCGAACATTAATCACAGTGTCACAGTTTTGTAACTACTTTAACAAGTTAAACGCCATGGGGGTCACCGGTGACCGGCGTTAGCGGAGGATTTACCTTCAACAGTTTTTTATTGGCAGTCAAAGTCTTATGCAACACTGAAATTAAATCCTTGAGTTCCGGAATTATGCTTATAAATTTATATTTATTTTTAAATAACTATTTCATCTGAATTCTAAAATAAAATAAAATCTAATCTAATTTTTACAGAACAACTTTGCTATTTAGGCTGACCTTGGTTTCTTTTCTATTTTCTATAGAACCTTTAACCATACAATGATCGTTACTTTAAATAAAACTCAAATACTTTTAAATACACAAATTCTATATATTTCACTTACAAAAAACTTCTAAAAATGTTTACCTAACTGAGATAAAATAATGTCTATATCAACAGATAAGGCGATAATAAAATGGTAATTCACACCAAAGTAATAACAACATACAATATTTTAACATAGTTAACATATATTTGAAAATAGCTTGTCGATCGATAAATCACTGATGACGTGTATCAAAATTACCATTCATAAACTTTAATTTGATACTAATGACGTACATATTTGTAAGTTTTTTTGCTTATTATTTATTTGTCAAGCTACAACATTCCATGGTTTCCCGTTGCCTTTTATAGTTGGTGTTACCTGTAACAGAAAAGGTTAAAAGTGTAATATCAACAAGATTTTTCTGAAGGTGAAGGGCACCAACGTTGCAGTCTTCTAGGTCAGTAACTGCCTCACATTCAAGTTAACTCGATAAAAAAAAGTTACGTATGTATTTGTGTATGTAGATAAGACTAGATACCTTTTTGGTTATAAGATCTTCGCAAGCCATTCTGATACGAGCGCAGGATGCCGGTGCATCTAATTCAAATTCGGGAGACACTCCACTGTCTAAACGAGCTGACTTAATTGCTTCTTTTATCGCGAAAAATACTGATGCAGCGAGAAATAGTGGCGGTTCTCCCACGGCCTGTAATTGTACAACATATTGACATAATTTTAGAGGAGCCTTAAACTTTATATGAGGTACCAAAACCTGTGCCAAATATGAGATATAATTTACCTTTGATGAATAAACGGCTCGTGGATTTGGCGCACCCTTTAACAATGAAATGTTGAAAACTTTCGGTATATCTGAAAATCCTGGTATCTTATAAGCTCCAGGCCCCTGCGATAATACCTCTCCATTTGGTGAAAATACCATTTCTTCCAAAGTATAGAAACCATACCCTTGCATAAAAGCCCCTTCTATCTGTCCAATGTCTATTGCAGGATTTAAACTTTCCCCGACGTCCATTACTATGTCCGTTTGTAAAACCTGATGATCTCCAGTCAAACAATCTATGATTACCTCAGAACATGCAACTCCGAAGGTAAAATATTCGAAAAGATTTCCAGAGTTAGTCTCAGCGTTGTATTCAATTTTTGGAGCTGCGTAAAATCCTGTGGCAGATAATTGTACTCTATTCACGTATGCTTCTATAATCCAGTCTTCCCATTTTCCCGTAGGATTTTTAACTTTAAATGGCTCCAGTCGACCTTTTAATACTTTACACGCTTCTACGACAGCCATTCCGTATAAATCAGAACTTATGCTGGCGGCAGTTGGCGAACTATTAGGAACTTTGTCTGTAGACATCTCACTAATATGGATTTTTGTGTAATCTATTTCTAAAGCCCTTGATGCAACTTGTATCATTTTAGTAAATAATCCTTGACCCATTTCTATTCCTCCAATAGAAAGGAGAACTGACCCATCTTTATACACATGCAGAAGTGCTCCTGCTTGCATTAGAACATCGATTTGGAACGAAATTCCATATTTGGTTGGAACCAAGCTGATGCCCTTCTTTTTCCATCTATTGTGCCTGGAAAACGTAATAATACGGTTTAGTGTCACATGAATTGAAAATGGAATAATTTCATTTTCCGCGGGAAAAATGGAAGTACATATACTTATTACAAGTTGCTTAATCCCAGACTACAATTTTATACTGGGTATTACTTTGCTAGTGGAGCATCACTGTGAGTCAATAAAATACATATTTACCTATTAAATTCTTCGATATCTTTCTTTCGCTTCCAATAGTCTGAAGTTTCTATGCATTCGTTCCAGCATCTTGATAGTGTACAATATGTTAGCGTCTGATTGTAATGCGTCAATGAACCTTCTTGATAAAGGTTTGTTTCAATAATCTGCTCATAACTTTTTCCTAATGTGGCAGCAATATGTCGCATAATTGTTTCTGCAACCAACATTCCTTTTGGAGCCCCGAAACCTCTGAATGCTGTGTTTGAAGGCATGTTGGTTTTGCAAAGATATCCAGACATTTCGACGTTCGGTATAAAGTAACAATTGTCGACGTGCATAATTGTTCTTTCTAACATCTGAAATAAGTTTGTCAAAAACATGTAGAAATTATATTCTAATAATTTAAATAAGATATACTTAATACAAAATTCATTACCGCACAAGAGATATCCAGGGAGTAACCTGCATTGACATAAATTTCAAATTTTGCCCCAGTAACTTTTCCGTCTTCTGTAAATCCTACTTTATATTTGATCAAACAAGGGTGTCTATAACCTGAAACCTGCATATCTTCATCTCGGTCCAATACAGCTCTTACAGGTTTTTTTAGTTTATATGCAGCGATTGCTACTGGAATAGCTAATAAATTAGCTTTTGTTTCTTTGCCCCCAAAACCACCACCAACCCTCTTAACTTTAGCAACTACCTTGTGGTTGGGTATTTGAAGCACCGCAGAAGCAACGTGCTAAAACAAAAATGGAAATATTAAAAGGGTAACAGTGTACTATTTTAGTTTTATTTATTTAACTTACTGCTATTTCTTCCGGATTTTGTGACGTAGCTACAATTTCAAGCTCATCTTCTTTCCTAATAGCGTAAGCAGATATAGTTTCAAGATAAAAATGTTCTTGTGCCCCATTTCTTACATATCCTTCTATTACATTATTTGCGTTTGATAATGCCTCATTTGCATCACCTTTACGGAGAACACGCGGGTATCCAGTAAAATATGAACGTTGTGATATTGCGTCTTCTAACGTAACAATGACTGGCTCTAAACGTTCATATTCCACAGAAATTAAATCTATTGCTTTTCTAGCTATGCTATCAGAAGTAGCTATAATTGCACCCAATACACAAGCACGACTAGTTACTATATCCCGTGAAAAAACTTCTTCATCTTTTATTATAGGGCCCATTTTGTTACAATCGTCAGCTAAATCCTCAGCCGATAAGAATGCTTCTACGCCTGATATTAATAGAGCTTTACTTGCGTCTATAGATTTAATTTTGGCATGTGCTTCTTGGCTGAATAGCAGTTTTAGAAACAGTTCTCCCTTTACAGGCGGAATATCATCACAATATATAGCTTCTCCAGTGGCTTGCTTTAATGCTGAAGTATGTGTTATTGGCCTTCCAACAGCGTCTGATGTAATTTTATTTTTGTTAGTTACTTCAAAGCACTGTGCACTACTTGGCTCCAATATTCTTATTTCGTCTACGCCGCTAAAGTCTTCATCGCTAACTGGTTTTACTCCTTTTTTCTCCAAACTTTGTAAAATATGTAAATAAAATCTAAAAAACAAGCTTAAACAAAGTGATTTGCGGTAATCAGCCATTCCTCCTGGAACTGAGACATCCAATTCTAACTCATTAGTTAACGATTCAAATGCGGCATGTAGCATTGTTTGATCCCAACGATATCCAATTATTCTTTCTGAAGTTGCTTTAGCACAAATGGTAGTTGGCCCCATACCACCAAAACATAAAGTTGCTTCTAAAATCTTTTCAGTTATTGGGTCTACTTTTACATTAAACGCGGCAGTTACTATAGATATGTCGTCGTCTTTTCGTCGAGCTTGCTTGTACGCTTTGAAGTATTGTGATTCAGTGGTAAACGGAATTTCTACAGACACAACAGTTTCATCGTGTTCTAGAGCCGTTTTTCTGTATCCTTTAAAGAATTCATCATTAATAGTAACTTTTCTTGTCCCCCTGCTTACACTATAAATATTCAATTTAGCTCCACATGCCATTAAAATTGGATTTAAATCAGATATCGGACTAGCTGTTACAATATTTCCTACAAGTGATGCTACATTCCGAATTTGATCACCTGCGAACCAATGCAGCATTTCGTTAATAGCTTTAAATATTTTAGATTCAATAGGATTTGTTTTGATTTGTTCTTGCAGGAAATGAGACAATTCATTCAATGTGATGGTAGCTCCTATAAGCATTCCGTCAGTTGTTACTTTACAAAAGTTCATTTCTGCTATTAGTGATGGATATAACAACACTGGATACACTTTTTTCTTAAACTTAACTTCGACGCCAATTTCACTATTGCCTACAATTATTTTAGAAGACGGATAATTAGCTTTTATCGTCGACAAGTCGTGAAGACTTTTCGGACGTATCCAAGTAACGTTTTCTCCAGAAAAGAATAAGTATTCCTCCGAATAACTGCTATTTAATTTTAGCTCTGGCGGGAAAATTGGCTCCTGTGTAGGATCATACGGTTTAAAAGATGATTTGTTAAATAATTCTTCGTTATTAGTTTTCTTGTTTCGACAACACTCTGCACCCATACCACAAATAGTGTTTTGAGCTTCCGGCATATAATTTCTTTCCCAGCCTTCTATGAAAGTTTTAAAACCTTCAATTATAGGTCTGTACCCAGTGCATCTGCAAAGGTTTCCTTGCAATGCAGTTTCTATGTCTTTATATTCAATTTTAGTTTTATTTCGTAAAAGAGTATACATTGACATTACGATGCCTGGTGTACAGAATCCACACTGTGACCCGTGAGCCTTTGCTAGTCTTTCTTGCACGGGATGTAAACGTTCTTGTGTGGAACCTATTCCTTCAACGGTGGTCACCGCTACGCCATGCATAGCGCAAACTGGTGTCAAGCAAGCGTTTACCGCAATGTGTCTATATTATATAAAAAGTTAAGTCTATTATTGTATAATTTTCAAAAAAAAATGTTTGTACCACACCCTAAACAATATTTTTAAACCAATAGTTTATTTTTGCAGAAAAAAATTAAATACTAAGTATTTCAGAATAAAAAAAAAAGTATTCATCAGGAAACTAATTACAATACGCAACTAAAATGTATTTTACTGTAACAAAAAGTTGCGCCCAACGTGGGGCTCGAACCCACGACCCTGAGATTAAGAGTCTCATGCTCTACCGACTGAGCTAGCCGGGCTGTAACGATAACGTCGAAAATAGGCACTGTATTCGTAAAGGATACTTGATGCGATCTTCAGTCTTCAAATATTGTGAGATCATGACTGTACAGGCGCCGCATCCACCCTCTCCACATCCATATTTAGTTCCAGTAAGCAAAAGTTTCTTGCGAAGGTAAAATAGTAAAGTCCATTCTGGGTCTGGGTTTTCCTCAATAACCTGCAACAGCATTGAAAAAGTAGATAATACCTAGATTGTAATATTGATTTTGAATATAATATAGTGTCTGCTAGTAGTGACTGCAACTACGGCTGCTTAGCATGGGATCTCGCATTCGATTTCCGCGTCGGGCAAAGTTATGCAGTATAGAGTTCGTATCGGGCGAAGGTGAATATGAAAATAGACCCTCGTATAACATGACACATAAAATAACCTAACATGTCTAGACGCTACGCTTAGATACTTAATTAGGTATTATGTGCCCATTATGCACCTCTGCCGAGCCCTTCGAGATATAAACGGTGTTATGTTATTTATAGATATTTATTTATAACTAGCTGAGCCTGCGACTTCGTCCGCGTGGAATAGTGATTCACAGCTCCTCCCCCGTAGTTGATAGCATGATAATATGTAGCCTATATTTGCTGACCCGACCTGTGAGTAATATTCATTAAAAATTTGAAGTAAATCCATGCAGCAGTATTTGAGTTTATCCCGGACATATATACAGACAAACAGACAAAAAACCATAGGTATTTTTGGTTTCGGTATCGACTGTAGATCACGCCGAAAGCATTTAAAAAAAATATTCGTAGTTCAGTTTTCACTTTCCTACGATTTTATTATATGTATAAATATTGTATATTATGTAAGTATCTAATACGAGAGAAAGGGGATGTAGTAGATAGCTACGTAGTTATGTAGCACTGATATTCGATCTAAGTTGAAACTTGATATATGTTTACTAAGATTTGCTTAGGGTTGTTAAAGAACAAAACTAATACAATAAAACAAGGCTTTATTGTAAATTAAGTAAGTACCCACTCATGTATATCACGGACGTTTCAACTAAATAAATAAATAAATAAACTACTTTCAACACAATTCGGTTCCTACTCATTAAATTACGTAACTGGCGAATCGAGCCTACTAATGTTATGTACCTACCTCTGAGAAATAATAGGTGTTATGTACCTTAAATTAAAATTTGTATAACAACCTTCCCGTTATCTAATTTAAACATGTTTTAGATAGATTTAGGAATAATTTCATTAATACCTATATCATTACATAAATAGTGAAAAGTGGGTGTTACATTGTTCAGTGGTATAATGCCTACCCCTTCGGGGATAAAAGGCGTGATGTTATGTTATGTTAAATCATTACGCTCATCATAATCATTAAACACTCGGTAAATCGGTATAAAAGAGACCTAATACTACGTAGATTTATGAATCTATCTGCTCGTGTGTTGTAATGACTCGGGTTATCATAACGCGGGGTTTCATTGACGCTTGTTGACCTTAAAAATCATTAAAAATATTTATTAACTCGTCGAGTACCGGTTTTATAGACACAATTAAAGAACAATAGGTCGCGGTCACCGGTGACCGCTTGGTGTTTGACAGTTTAATTAATTAACATTACAAATAAAATCAAAGTTAAAGCATTTAATTCAATTACATAATCGTTAATTAGGTACTTTAGGAACGTCAAAATTGATTACCTAATCGATCAGTCTTTTCTGTCTATCAAGTGTTCGTAAGCTCGTTACAGAGTGTAAAGTAACTATGAGTAACATCTATTTCGACTGTTCAATACAATAAAACATTAAAAAATAATCACACTTTCAATAATTGATTTTATGACCAATTTAATTTTAGTATTTTTCCAGCAAATATTTCAGAAATAAGTATGAAGTTTGACGCTAATAAAAACGTGACGTCACAATACACAATCTCGTACAAAAATCATAGTAAACTGTCGTTTTTGACAGTTCGAAAAAAGTATTGAATTTGACTACCTAGTTGGCAAGTATCCAATTGTTCGTTACTTGTAAGGAATGTCTCATTAGTTGGTCGCATGTGCTGCAGAGCAAATATTAGGTAGCCCTAACAGAAATAGGTACCACCGTACCAACATTTGATACTAAGAAAATAACTTGCCTAGCCCGTAGGTACCCATGCTTATCTAGAGCTTACTATGCAAATGGTTTCATTTCAATGAATTAATAGACAGGTCTTTATTTGTACTACTTTGTACCTACCTGGTAGGTACTTGGGTACCTACCCAGGTACCTACTTTCTATAACTGTATTTTAGGGTCTGGGTGTCATATGTATGCGAAATTGTATGTTTAAGTAGAAGTTATTGTAATTGTAATTTAAGTTAAGAAGAAACAAAATATATCTGTAAATTACTCTGTGGTACCTAGGTTTAAGCTTTTAGTTCTTTTCTATAATCCTGCTGAACGTTCCCTATATGCTGCGGATTCGATTCTAATTTAATTTATTTCAAGATGTATGTATTGTTTATGAAGCAATCGCCATAGTTGATTTTTTATGTAGGTTTCACTTCATAAAATAAGTGACGTAGACCTAACTTATTATACCTACTTTGTTTTTATGGGCTAGATAAAAGATATAAAGCCAAATAAAGTAAGGTGCTCAAATAGGTATTTTCTCTCCTTAATTAACATGGAGCATGTTTTATATGTAAATAAACAAACTCTATGCCTGTAGTAGGTAGTCATAGTCGCCACAAATGCCAATTTTAGCACATAAAAACGATCCCCACGACAACGTGGGGGACAATGCAATACCGCATTGTGACTACTAAAAGAGTACCTATTTCAAATGTATCTAAGTACCTACCTACAACTTATTTATCACTTCTTTATAGGTACATGGTAAACAATATGTCATATATCATACATTGACCCTGTAATGTTACAAAGGAAACTAAGTAGCAGAATCATGGAAATACAATTCCTACCGGTAAGCAATTTAGTTGAATTAATTTATTATAGGTAGACAGAATAAACAAATAATAGGTAATTTACCTTTTTGCCATTTACAAAGAATATTAAAGTTTTTTGAGCATCATCAGGTATCAAACTGTTTATAGATTCCATCGTTCAATCCAATCACTGTATAGAATAACCGGTATTTTAATATTAAACAATTTAATGCGTTACAGAACTGCGTCCGATGGACCGCACCGCACTCGTGTCACTGCCGCGATCTCGCGCACGTTTTACTTACGAGATTCTATTCTAAACGATTTCAACATAAAGAACAATGTTTTAATTCAAAACATATTTAGATAAATTTAAGGGGTTTTGATTAAAATGTAATCAGTATGTTTACCGACACCTCATTAGTTATTTCTTGTAATATCGATCAATATTATTGCGCAATCTATGTATGTAGGTATTATTTTTATAACTCCATATAATTTACCTGTATGTAAGTACTTAGATTTATTTAAATCGTAATACTTATGTCAATTTGCAACTTTTTTTTTCGTTGAAGGTAGTTATTAATACTAAGGCAGCCGCGGAAGACATAACGGGTCACCGGGGCTCGAAGTGCAGGAGTAGGAACGGGGTGGTTTTTAGTGAGTAAGAGGATGACACTCCCTCCCACCTCTCTCTCCCAGGCGGGAGAAGTCATTCGATGATTTTCCCCCTTAAAAAAAAGGTAGGTAGGCACATTTTTAATAGTCTAATCTAACGTAAATTTAGGACTTAAATTTTTCACTATAAGACAAACCTTGAGTTAAAACTTCCTACGCTGACTTTTAATTATCGTATTGTTTTTAAAATTGAAACACTACTATGATACTGTACTTAAAGATAGAGAAAACATATTTCTGCGCAACTGTTACATAGTGTGTACTGTGTAGTTGTGTACTATGAACATCTCTTGTGAACCACATGCCACATGGGGAAATAATAGATGTGATGTTCTAGTTTATTAGTAGAGATAAGGTATGCGTAAATAAAAGACATTTAATTATAATAACAATTTTAATTAACTACACTAACATGTAAATATACATTTCAATACTTGTACATAATTTACACAAAGCATTATCTGCTTGTTTAGTTTATGTTATCTCGAAGACAACTGATTAGCATGATTTATACAGCTTCAAACAAGGTGCAAAGTTATCTACAAAACTGGGAGAAAAAAGATATTGCCTACAAAGTGTTATTAATTTTAATGAGTACTAGTTGGTTACACTTAAAAAAATCATAAACATGGCAGTACTTATCTGGTTTTAACTAGAAAACTGTAGGTTCAAAAGCTATTTGATAAAATGTACATTTTGACCTAAATCTAATACTCTAATACAAGCTTTTTTGTACAGTAACAATAACAATTCAACTATTTTATTATGATACAGGATAAAATTAATATAATTTTATACATATAGGTACTTTTAAGTAACAACTTTTAGAAAATCTTGAAAGATTGTTACACCAGCATGAATAAAATGTTACTTGCGACATCAACATAAAATAAAAACTTTTCAATATTTAGCATTGTCTTTGTAACCAGGTAAAGTATTGTGATTTTTTTGTTTTGAAATGGTTTATTTATTTACACTCCTAAGCTGATTTTAATACACCTTTCTGTTCAAGTTCTTTTTCAACCATAGTACCTTCATAGAGAATTTTGTCTTTCAATGCATCTTGTAATAATTGAGCATCAAATCGTTGTTTAGACCATTGGTACCTACAGTAACACCAGTACACCATAGTAGTCATTGAAAATGTTCCCACACCTATGTGCTGCGATAACATAGGCCGAGATGTTTTAATGAATGCTGCTAAACCAACACCTATTCCAGTTGAAATGCCATACAGAAAACTTTCTCTGAAGCATGGTATTTTGGACACATCCCTACCAAATATTACAAGTCCCTGAAATAAGAAAAAGGGTTTTAAAACATAATTCAGTAGGTATAGTTTATTCTATTTGGTAAAAATTTTCTTCTTTTAAATTTGTCCTTTAATTTTTTTAATTTACGTATTATATATGTAATATTAGAACATTAACAACAATGAAAACTAATAGAAATTAGGGAAGCTACAATTTCGCAATATATTTATGTATAGTGATAAATATCAATATATTTTGAATAATATATTGATATTTTATTTTAATACATTGAATCGACCTAACCTTTTTTTCTTCTTCAGGCTCCTCATCAAGCAAACTCTTTACTACTGTATCCATTTTGTTAGGATATTGCTAGGTATTCTTTCAAAAAACTAGATTGGAGGAATAAGAGTTAATAATTATCATTTAGAAAAAAATCACAATAGCAACAATAACCTAACCTTAAAACTTTGACGTTGACGTAATGCCATCTTTGACATAACACTGACAGAACAGACAGTTGAGTTTTTTTTAACTTGGTAACACGGCTTTTTCGCAAAAATTATATAATTTTATTTTCCACTAAAATATAGGCACATAATTCGAAAACTCTAAGTTTCTTTTAAAACAGACAATGGTTTGGATTTTTATTCACGACTTCGTAATTTTGTTTTGTTTTGGTTTTTCTGATGCCGTAGTGCGAGAATGGTTTTTAATTTATTTGTTTAATTTACGCAAATTATCGGTATGTCTACTACAAACGTAATAAATACAATGTATCAATGAACTGAAACCAATTTGTTTTGTGTTTATTGCGAACAATTTCAGAAAATTACAGCACCCGCGCTTCTTGCTATAAATATCAATAAAATGTCAATTTGTTGACTGGAAGGCAGATTGACGTCACTTCATTTCGTTTCGTACTGTCAGACTTGTGTTTATTTTGAACATGAAATATATCTTACTCTTTCTAATATAAAGTATTTATGATGTTCTGTCCTGCTGTCTTTTCCGGTAAAATCATTTCAAAACTCGATTGAAGAAAGGGCTGTTGGTTGGGTGCCTGACGTCTCTTTTATTCCAGACTAGCCTTTTTAAATCTAAAAAATATTGTCTTCGTAAATTCCCGTGTAATTCTTAAGCGCTCTCTGTTTTCCAGTTATAATACGTTTTCGAAGTAAATTCTGTTTCATTATACGAAGTATCTTCCACAAACGTGAGTGATAAGTTTTAGATATTTTAGAAAGCTTATCTCCAGCTTAGTGTTTTTCTGTGAGAGTAGTTTTTTATGGGAAGAAAGAATACTAGACTATAGGAGTTAATATATAAAGCTTATATAATGCGCCAGCTGTGAAGGACACCACATAGTCTACATTTTATGATAGGTAAGTAGTATCTATATGTGTGAATAGCAAGCAAGTTATCATATCTATCAAGATATCTGCCTGTAACGCGGTATCAATTACAGGTCATGCTTTAGTGCTGTTTATTGTAACTACGATTTATTGAATTCTTTGATTAATTAAAACTTTAATTCTTGATCACATACAACACAGCTGAACAGAAATCCAATCTTTTTGTTGTTACGTTTTATTGGGACATAAAGCTTGTTTTTTAATTGAACAATTGTATACCAGATTTTTTTTTTGCATCATTAGTCAGTTATATTCATATCTACAATTTAAAATAGTTTATAACATATTTCCATAGCAACAAACACAGAGATCCACAATATCTGTAATCTCTTTCATTATGAGCTTTTGTAATAAAATGATATTAGAAAATACTGTCATAGTTACAGTACATTCAATAAACTACATAAAAGTAGACAATATTTAAATACAAACACCTTTGATAAAACATTATTTATGGAAAATATTAATTTTAAATGAAACAGATTTAATTTACCCTAATAAACATAGGAAAAACTATTAATAAATTTACCTGAACCTATGACCATATGGCTACTTTTAAATATTACAATGATACTGTTATCCTTTCATTTTAAAAATAATACACAAGTACATAATGTAAATGCTAGGAAAATGGATGCTGGCCAAATATAAACTATAACAATGGTCATGTCTGGCACTATGCCTAAAAATAAATATTTTACTATTTAAGCTTCCATATTTTAATCCCTAAACAGTTTTTATGTCAAAACGCTCATTAAGTACTCCATGATTGAATGCCAAATATATACATATAATCTTATAAACTCGCTAATTATATAAATAATATGTTAATATATAATACAAAAAAAAAATCCAAAATTGTGTATTACTGAAATATGAATTTGTTATTAAATTAATTTCATTATAACTAGTAAATTAAAAATGAATTTGTTTTTGTATATACATAGTCTATTATTTGCTCTTTTACTGCTTGACTCTTTAGGTGTATGGTATAAGATGAGGTTTAATAGGTGACTTTGTTGCTAGAATTTTAATTGAGTTTAGCAGTTAAAAGATAATTAAACTTTTTTCCATTTCATTATCATCTACTTTTCACCAGCACACTGCAGCACCATGATAGACACTATAATAATTGCATTCAGTTATAGTTTGGTATTACAATTTTTTTTAATGCCCCTCATTAGGTTTTTCTCCTGTGTCGTGTGTGCGTTTACAAACATACAAGTTCACATACACATGACATCCAGACTTGGAACAACAATCTGTGGATCACACAAAGAGTTGTTCCGTGCGGGTCTCGAACCCGCGACACGTTGCGCGGAAGTCAGTTGCCCAACCACCGCGCCAATCGTGCAGTCTAATTCAAAATGTAGTAATATATATTTACAAATTCTTTTTACAAAAGTCACAATGTTGCCAAAACTGCAAAAACATTGGTCGCCTCACTTTCACAAGTAAACAAATAGTTCATAGAATATAGAACTTATCTTTACTTCAATGAGCTTGGAACAATGTACAACATTATCACCAAATATATTTGAACTACTACATGTAAAATTGCTCTATCCCGCTCACTAAAACAACAATTACGAACAATTCAAACTTATCATAGCATAGCCATAAACCACTCATCAGTAGTCACAGAAATATTGTCTTGTTATGTAAATAAGGTTGTTAGCCATAGAATATTAATAATGTATTTTTCATTTTCAACACTTGCTTCATTTATTGTCTGAAAAATCGAAGTAATAACTACAATCAAAAACTATTATAGAACTACTCTATAACTGTTTTGACATGCTCTATGGTAAAATTAAGTATGAATATCATGATTTGCTCTAAACATAGTTTTCTTGTAAACTGTGCACTATCTATCTCTATGGAGCGTCTAATTAATCTGACAAGTCTAGCATGAAATGTAGGATGTTTAGTGCGCTCCATGAGCCAATTAGATCAGTTTATTATTACTACGCAAAGTAGCTGCTGGTTACAACAGGAAATATGAGGTTTGAAGGGCAGTACTGTAAAAGTATGTCACCTTCAATTTAAACCTTGGCGAACAAGTACCAATATTCCTTGGTCTTACCTAATCACAACAATACGATGGGTACCAACATCGAGCACTAAAATATTAACGCTGTAATAAGCATTAGGGGAACACCTAGAATGATCAAAAAGGACTTCTTGTGTAGGTGATTGCTAAAGCTACCTATTATATTATCTACTTCAACTAGTAGCATTTCACATTTATCTTTCAGCAACAATCAAATGGACTAATATCTATATTAATGACGAAATTTTAATTATCTCTCACATAATAGTGAGATATATCGGTGGACCTACTGTAGTCTAAAAGTCTCTTGCGTGCAGTGTCTTTCTAAGTATATCATAAATAATTGCAGTGCATTTACGATTTCCGTTACAACTTTTACTCGTAAATAAATAACGATCAACCAAGACTTGTTACGGGTACGTATGTATTTATCAAGTAGCTACTTACTATATTTTCTATTTTTCTGTTTCCGATTTAGTTAAATACATATGATAAATAAACATTTACTTATTTAAAAATTTCTGAATTTATCTTACTCTAATGCTATAGAGCTACGCACTGATCTTTTTGTAGCAGCGATAACAATACATCGCCTGCTGAAATGCTCTCAAAAATCATTCTTAGAAGTACACGTTTGCATTGTGAAAAGTAATCGCGCAATAGATATACAAGCCATCAAAAGAAAAATGTATGTGTAAAAGACATAAAACAGCTGAATATCACCTTGAGTAACGATTGGCGGCGCCTCGGAACGATTGCCCGCCCACTGCAAATAGATTTTACAATCAACCCATTGACACAAATAAGTGTACCTAGTACTCCCGTTTCGGCAACGTATGGCGGGTCATAAAAAAATCATTACAATTTAGCCATTAATATTCGATTAAAAATTATCTTCGTTGGTTTAATTTATATTCAGAAAGACATAAAACTAAAATTTTATACTAGGCGCAGACGAACTTTACCGGCACAAAAATAAATATTGTTATGATTCAGCATCTCTACAGAATAATTTAGAGCCGTTGGCGCCTCAACGTTTATTATTCAGCAGCCCTTCGCCAATGTAAATATTAGTGAGTGGAATTAGATAGGTGCCAACTGAAGCGCAATACTACTTAGATAGGTTCTGAAACGAGATCTAAGTATCTAGGGAGTCGACTTCTGACATAATATTATGGTAGTTTGTGGAGGTCGTTCCTACGTATTCACCAAAACGTACGATGTTGCTTGTGCAACTAGACTACCTACTTGGATGGTACACACGGGTGAATACGCGGTTAGTCATTGTCTGCCTCCATAAAAGTGAAGGGATTCAACACAGCAGACTAATTTTGCAACTGGTAGGTAAAGCCGTGTAGGTGAGTGATAAACATGTGTGCCTATGTATACGTCAATCAGAGACGTCTACCTAAACTTAATTACAATAATCACATGCATATACATTTTCACGAATTACCACATTTGCTGTTTCTGATATCAGTTTGTATGTAAAGTAGATAATGCTTGATATCTTTACGTACCTAGGTAGGTAGTGTTCTTTATGATTTGTAGAACACTAATTTATTCGCCTGGTTTCATTCCTAGATTTTGGAAATTCAGATTGCTTCACTTTATTTATTTACATTTGGATTTATTATTTTAGTACCTAGATAGTTGTCTATCTTGGTTGGTTGTCCATTGTGGTTGTTGATGGTTGTCCAAAACACCAAAAAGTTTAGACATTCATCTCACACTCACATAGCTTGGCTTTGTTTTATACTTCAACAGTTAAAACTGAAACTATTTGGGACTGAATACATTATTCTGAACTAACGCAGTCCGTACAATTTGTTTAATGTTTGTAATAATTTATTCAAGACATTAATGAATGGGTTTCTCAGTCGGCAGACGCCGTAGGATATATCGGATGGATTCGCGACCTTCGGCAATTTCTGTAGTGTTGAAACTTTCAGTCAGTTAGTCAGTGG